TATAGAAGATATTCTGACGTCCATAGATTACCAGATTACCAGCAACTACCATTCCGAATGAGCGTTCGTCCACTTAGTGGGATGATCCCTGAAGTCAGTAGCTTTCCAAGTAGGTTATAATTCTATTGCGACATGTGTGAAAAAATTGCACATCATAGTCATATATTATATATATACAAATTATCGTGACTGGAATATTCAATGTGATGTACTGAGCGTACGAATTCTGAAATTGTCCATTGCAAACCATTTCCGAAGTTTTCGGAATCATCCCAGTATCATCGGCATCCTTCTTTCTGGAGATAATTAATGAAATAAGATAGACATAGATAAAATAAGCATAATTCTTGGAGTTCCCCCCATGGACCACCCTCCAGTATATAAATTAACATAGGCCCTGCCAGATAAAGGTTGGAAAATTAATTTCCACCCAAAATTGGTGATTTTCTGGGTCTATCTATATAAATGATCATATTTCACTGACATGAAATAAGGCCTCACATGGGGAGGATTCCAGGGTAAAATGTCACGGCGTGAGGTCATGATTCATGTCCCAGGTCTCCAGGCCTGGATTGTTTACCCTCTGGTAATGACTAACAGTTTGCTATTGAAGCCATGGCCATAGAAATAGTGGATTTACCCATTGAAAACGGTGATTTTCCATAGTTATGTAAACGTTTACCAGAGGGTATATCCTATTAAATCCCATTAAATCCCATTAAACCACCATTTTTCCTACGGTTTTCCTATGGTTTTTGACATCCCAAGACATCCATGGTTTCCTACCATCCCTGGCCGAAGGTGTCACCTTCGGCCGGTACGAGGCACAGCATGGAGCCGTTTCTGGTCATGAAGGATGGCTCTCGGGACTCGGGGTCCAAACGGCTAGCAGCCCTGACGGTCGGGAAAAGAAATGGAGTCCCCAACAAATGGGATGGTGAACCGGAGTCCCATATGGGATGGTGATAATCCCAAACATATTGGTTAATAATGGTTACCATCTGGTTATGACTGACATAGCCATGGAAATCACCATATTTAATAGGTAAACCATCTATAAATGGGCCATCTATACCATGGCTATGTTAAATAACCAGAGGGTAATAATAGTGGCCAATAGTAAGATAATAATGGGATAATAATGGTTAATGATGGGATAACCATTGGTTAATAATTGTTGATAATTGTTACTAATTGTGAATAACTGTTAATATCAATATTTGTGGATTATAATGGGATAATATTGGATTATAATGGGATAATAATAGTGCGTTAATATTGGGATAACAAGTGATTTGCATTTTTTTCCATCTTACTGGCGCTTAATTGTAGGGAACGGGCCCGGGGGAATGTATGGGAATGGGATGATTGTGAAAGTAGTTACAGTATGGACCTATGGATTTGGATCATGAAACCCCATTCCCTACGTTTAGCATCAGTGAGAAGTGCCTTCGAAATAATGTTCAATCTTTGTTGGATTTTAAGTTATGAACATGTTCCCCACATTTTTGCTCATTGTTGGAACTTGGATAAATTATTGCCTCATTTTCTATGCATGTTTGTTGATGATTGTTTTACATATGTTCTGGCGGGTTCAACCTCATTGCCATATCAAATGCGCCTCAAATGGCAGGTACACAGCTTGGTCAAAATCATCAGCAAATCCAAGAAGTTGGGTGGATCATCACACCAAGATGAAACAAGACGAAGGTTTCCCATACAAACATCTTGCGGCAGAATGCCCTCGAGATCTGGGATGAATGAAAAAATAATTCACTCATCTGAAGTAAGACATATTAAGACCAGTTGGGGTTGATTACCATATATTGCCATCATTCCAGTGACGTCTGAGATGGTTTATGATGGTTTCGATGGCACTGCACAACCGCCAGTGAGAAAATTTCCACTATCACTCCTGGCTCGCTGAACTCTCGAGTTGCCGCTTCAGCTGTCTTTTATCATGTGACGCCACATGGGAAAGTGACCACAATTCCTATTATTTCTTTGGCACTGGGACTCCCAAGATCTAAAGCATGTCTTGGCGAGTTGTTGCTACTCCCCATGTCAACCAGGCCCCCAGGCGATGTCAAAGATTTACCTCGGCGGCTTAGATACCCAGTTCCGAACCAGGCTTTCTAGGGCAGATTGAATAGGAGAAGAGATCAGATTGGAACACCCAAACGCATCGGAAAGTTGCGAATCTGGAAGCTACATGAAAAGGTCATCTGTAAACTCTTGGAATAGTTTCTATTTACTTGGGGGCACCACTAATTTATACTTAGATATAACATGATATAACTATGTTCAGATGAACTGAGATGTATTTAATAGTTAGTGGCATTTTCCCATGGTTGTGAAAAATGCAGGGTGCCTCTCGATCAATCAACCAACCAGTGCAACAAAGAACATCTGTGTGCTTTAAACTATTCTTGTTGGTTGAATGTGTTTTTGGTTGTTGACTAGTAAACACCCAAATATTTAGTTACTATAGACTATAGGATAATTTGTGGTATCGGGCTTAACACTATTAATTGTGAGATCCCTCCAACTAACATAAATGGCTGGAAGAAAGTTGTGTTCCAACACCCTATTTGGCGGAGTCATGTTAGCTGAAAGAAGGGTAAATCTCCCATTTCTGTTGGTAGTTGGTTTATAAACCCCATGAACTAGTTTGATATATCTACGGAAAACTATAGTTAAACCATTGAACTAAACCAACTTGACAAACTACATTATATGAAACCCATTCTATAATTGGTTCAGCCATTAAATTGCATTAAACTGATATTAATAAGTGATTTAAAGAACCATTAGATCCAACAAGCAACCCACTAAACCACATCGAGCCCACTAACAAGTGATTTAAAAAACGTCAATTATAAAACCAAACAAGAAACACACTAAATATCACTAAATCACATCAAACCCATTAATCATGTTAACCATTGATTTAGAAAAAACAACGAAAAACATTGAACCCCCACGAAATCCCCATGTTTCGCTTCCCTGGCGGGGCTCCAATGATCATGCTGCGCGAGACCGAGGCGAAGGACAGGGACTCTCCGGGCTCGGAGGGTTCCACTAACTGGGCAGGGACGAGCGGTGAACGGGAGTCCCATATGGGATGGTGATAATGGTTACCATAATGGTTACCATCTGGTTATAATGGTTAATAATGGTTCATAATGGTTCATAACATAATGGTTCATTTAAAAAAAAATGGTTCATAATGGTTACCATCTGGTTATGACTGACATAGCCATGGAAAGATCCACCATCTTTAAGAACGGTAAACCATCTATTTCGATTAGGGCCATCTATACCATGGCTATGTTAAATAACCAGAGGGTAATAATAGTGGCCAATAATAGGATAATAATGGGATAATAATGGTTAATGATGGGATAACCATTGGTCAATAATGGTTAATGAGGTAAAGCCATGGAAGGCCAATGCCACAAACTATCTCAAAAATGTGATCCCCAACATATTGGTTGGTACAATCGCCTATAATCATCAACTTACGGTGTTGAACACTGCTCAATTCAGCTAACATTTGGATGATTTCGTCAGAAAAAACCAAGTAAAACTTGGATGGTCTGTAGAAACATGATGTGAATATGATGAATTTCACCGGTTGAAGCTGAGATTTACACACGAAGAAAAATGGATAAAAAATCACTCAACCAACCACAATGGCCATGAAAATGATGCATTTCAAAAAGCCAGTGCCCTTTTTTCACCATGGAAAAATGATGGTTTAAAAACCAAAACTGGATGGATTTTAATCAAGAAAGATGGGGCCCACATGTGTTTGGAAGAAAATGTCTGTTGTGTTTTGCGGACAATGAAATCCAAAAGACTGTGCCTGAGAAGACCTGAACATCCTGCAACAAGTGTGTGTGTGTGTGTGTGGTGGTTGTGGTTGTGGTTGTGTGCATTCTTATGTGTATATATATATAGTTATTATATGTTATTATAGTATTTACATTCCATCCAACTTTCCAACATCTTGGGAGATCAACAACTCCTTGATTATCATGGCTCAAATTTGACCCCATCACGGCCGATCTTGGGATACACTGATCCTTTTCTTTTTTACACTGGATCACTGGTTTGATCTGGTTTGTACATATCCCATGTATGACAAATGACAAAAGATTGAGTTGCATCAAACTATACCTTTCACTTTCACCAAGGCTACCCAAATATGGATATGAAAGGCCATGAAATTGACAACCGCCGACCAAATCCTGTTGATATTTGCTGATATTGCTTAAATTTCTCCATGTTGATGGATACTGCATCCCCCTAGGTCTAAAATTTAGGCAGCAATTTTCCACATTGGCAAATCTGGGTAAATTATAATAATTCACTAACCTGAAAAATTCGGCCAGCTATGGGAATGATTCCCCGAATCCAATTCCCATGATTCCAGGAGAACCGGGAGAACAGGCTTCGGTCGTGATCAAATTTGCGGCAAATGGTTCCCCTTGTAGCTCTAACAAAACCATGGCAGTCACTGGGCAGTAGTTTCATCCCCATCCACCAAGAACACCGAAAGTCTGATCTTGGCCACGTCACCGAAACTCTGCTGCTTGCGCTATGGAGCACCGCACCTGCAGGCCGCTGGTTTTCCGACATCGCCTGCGATGTGAAAAATGGATTGATTGGAACTATGGGAACCATGGCTGATAGATCTCCCGCCAAAAATAAGTATAGCTGGGTTCTGGGTAGTATGATGTACCTAGAAAAAGATGTACCCCCGTTGCTTTTTGTTTTTTTAACTGAACCAAGGTTTTGGCAGGAAATTGGGCCGCCTGAGTCACCCATCAAAACCCATGGATCTGATCCCGGGGATGAACCTGTTTGACAGCTGTGCCGCGAACGCAGTGCCTAGCTCAAAAAAACCCATTCGTCCACCCTTCAAAAAAACAAGTTGAAATACATAACAAAGATTAACAAAGTATATACACATTATATAAACCAACATAAGCCAATCACCGGTTGGGAGATATTTCATGAGATTTGCCCTCATCGACCCGACTCAAGGCGACTCGCGGCTCGCCCCACTTTTTTGGCCCCGCATCTTGGGACAGAAAGTCCGACCAAAGGGTTCTCTCGCCCAGAACCTTATGCAGGCCAGGAAGGTCGAAGAACACCTCAGACGCCAGTCCGCCAATTCTGCCAGATCACCGAGGCATGATGAAAACTGGTTCTTTGATGTTCTTTGATATTCAAAGGCGATGCATATAAATAAACAATGGAAACCACCTGGAACCATCCAAAATATCTTCAACAAAATTGGATCAAGCCGGCGTACATATCTATGTGAAAATGATGTATGCAATTTGCACAAAACAACCAATGGAGAGTGCATTAGTGGGTTTACCACTACAGCCACTATATGAATAAACCTCCCATATGGTCAATTAATGCTAATTATAATCCCATAAATTATCATATATATTATAAATGATCATATTCGATTATTGCTGGGTTTGTCACACTATCAGCATTATTCACCAGTTACAAGTAGTATTAGTCCATCATTACCATCTGGTAATTTAACTATAGCTATCAAAAATACCCCATAGAAATAGTTGATTTACCTATTCAACATGGTGATGTTCAGTAGTTTTTTGATCTTCTTGTATGTCTACCAGAGGGTTCCACCATTATTAACCCACCATCTGCCGTGGCATAACGCACCGTCTCGCACCTCTTGGCACGTCTCGCGGCCGGCGTCCTCGTGATCCTCGTGGTCGTCCAACGCAGGCGCGGCTCCCAGCCGGAAGTAGACCATGACTCTCACGCCGCTGCAAACGTAGCGCGGTGCCACCTGGTTTGACATGGAACTAGACGACGGATGGCCCGAGAGCGTAGAGGAGCAGGGTCTTCTCTTGTTAGTATGGAGACGCAATATTAGAAACGATATATGAAAGCTGTGTTATAGGCAGTCGAGGAGGAGTATCAAGACAAAATAGTGAGAAGTGCAAGTGAATAGTTTGCATCGCAAACACTTTTACACACAGACGCTTTTACACAGACGCTTTTACACACAAAGCTTTTACCCACAGAAGCTTTTACACACAGAAGGTTTTACCCACAGAAGCTTTTACACACAGAAGCTTTTACATACAGAAGCCTTTACACACAGAAGCTTTTACATACAGAAGCTTTTACACACAAACGCTTCTACACAGACACTTTTACACACAGAAGCCTTTACACACAGGAGCTGCTTTTACACACAAACGCTTGTACACACAGAAGTTTTTACACATAGACGCTTTTACACACAGGCACTTGTACACACAAACACTTTTACACAAACACTTTTACACACAGACGCTTTTACACGCAGACGCTTTTACACACAGAAGCTTTTACATACAGAAGCTTTTACACACAGAAGCTTTTACATACAAACACTTTTACACACAGACGCTTTTACACACAAACGCTTTTACACACAGACGCTTTTACCCACAGACCCTTTTACACACAGACGCCTTTACACACAGACACTTTTACACACAGACGCTTTTTACACACAGACACTTTTTACACACAGACGCTTTGACACACAAACACATTTACACACAGACGCTTTTACACACAGACGCTTTTTACACACAGACGCTTTTTACACACAGACGCTTTGACACACAAACGCATTTACACACAGAGGCTTTTACACACAAACGCTTTTACACAAACACTTTTACACACAAACACTTTTACACACAGACGCTTTTACACACAGACGCTTTTACACACACAGACTTTTACACACAGAGACGCTTTTACACACAGAAGCTTTTACACACAGACGCTTTTACACACAGACGCTTTTACACACAGACGAAAGGGTTGCTCCGGCACAGGAAAAATCACAATTTTACCTCAGTTTCTACCGATCGACCCTCATTTCGTGCGAAAGGGTTGCTCCGGCACAAGTCAAATCGCAATTTTACCTCAGTTTTTGCCGATCGACTCTCATTTCGTGCGAAAGGGTTGCTCCGGGGCAAGTAAAATCGCAATTTTACCTCAGTTTTTGCCGATCGACCCTCATTTCGTGCGAAAGGGTTGCTCCGGGACAAGTAAAATCGCAATTTTACCGCAGTTTTTGCCGATCGACCCTCATTTCGTGCGAAAGGGTTGCTCCAGGACAAGTCAAATCGCAATTTTACCTCAGTTTTTGCCGATCGACCCTCATTTCGTGCGAAAGGGTTGCTTTAGGACAAGTAAAATCGCAATTTTACCTCAGTTTTTGACGATCGACCCTCATTTCGTGCGAAAGGGTTGCTTTAGCACAAGTAAAATCGCAATTTTTCTTCAGTTTTTGACGATCGACCCTCATTTCGTGCGAAAGGGTTGCTCCAGGACAAGTAAAATCGCAATTTTTCTTCAGTTTTTGACGATCGACCTTCATTTCGTGCGAAAGGGTTGCTCCGGCACAAGTAAAATCGCAATTTTTCCTCAGTTTTTGACGATCGACCTTCATTTCGTGCGAAAGGGTTGCTCCAGCACAAGTAAAATCGCAATTTTTCCTCAGTTTTTGACGATCGACCCTCATTTCGTGCGAAAGGGTTGCTTTAGCACAAGTAAAATCGCAATTTTACCTCAGTTTTTGCCGATCGACCCTCATTTCGTGCGAAAGAGTTGCTCCGGCACAAGTCAAATCGCAATTTTACCTCAGTTTTTGCCGATCGACCCTCATTTCGTGCGAAAGGGTTGCTCCAGGACAAGTCAAATCGCAATTTTTCCTCAGTTTTTGCCGATCGACCTTCATTTCGTGCGAAATGGTTGACGTTTCGTGACTCGCCGCCGGCACCACCCTCGGCCTCAAGAGAGAAAGATAAAAAGAAGGCGAGAGAGAGAAAAAGGAGAGAGAAAGGAGAGAAGATGTGAAGGTGAGAAGATGTGAGAGAAGGTGTGAAGATGAGCAGATGTGAAGATGAGCAGATGTGAGAGAAGATGTGAAGATGAGCAGATGTGAGAGAAGATGTGAGAGAAGATGTGAGAGAATATGTGTGAGAAGATGTGAAGATGAGCAGATGTGAGAGAAGATGTTAGAGAAGATGTGAAGATGAGCAAATGTGAAGATGAGCAGATGTGAAGATGAGCAGATGTGAGAGAAGATGCGAGAGAAGATGAAGATGAGCAGATGTGAGAGAAGATATGAAGAAAGATGAGCAGATGAGAGAAGATGTGAGAGAAGATATGAAGATGAGCAGATGTGAAGATGAGCAGATGTGAGAGAAGATGTGAAGATGAGCAGATGTGAAGATGAGCAGATGTGAGAGAAGATGTGAAGATGAGCAGATGTGAAGATGAGCAGATGTGAGAGAAGATGTGAAGATGAGCAGATGTGAAGATGAGCAGATGTGATGATGAGCAGATGTGAGAGAAGATGTGAAGATGAGCAGATGTGAGAGAAGATGTGAGAGAAGATGTGAGAGAAGATGTGAGAGAATATGTGAGAGAAGATGTGAAGATGAGCAGATGTGAGAGAAGATGTTAGAGAAGATGTGAAGATGAGCAAATGTGAAGATGAGCAGATGTGAAGATGAGCAGATGTGAGACAAGATGTGAGAGAAGATATGAAGAAGGATGAGCAGATGAGAGAAGATGTGAGAGAAGATGTGAGAGAAGATATGAAGATGAGCAGATGTGAAGATGAGCAGATGTGAGAGAAGATGTGAAGATGAGCAGATGTGAAGATGAGCAGATGTGAAGATGAGAAGGTGTGAAGATGAGAAGGTGAGATACAGACCCCCACTATTGGAAGAACCCTGCGCTCAGACGCTCTCGGGAAAAATGTTTTTAACAATAATAAATTGTTTTTCATGTGGTTCAAACAATGTGGTCCATGTGGTCCATTTGGTTAAAACAATGTCATAAACCACCCATTTGGGAAGTGTTTATACCACCTATTGATGGTGATTTTTGGGCGATGGCTTATGACATTGTTTTCCCCACATTATGTTTTATATATGAAAACATGCCAGTCGACCCATGGTTTTATCATTAAACCCATGTTTATTTCTAGTTAACTTCAATATCGTCACATATGGTTCCATTTGTTCATTATCTTGAAGGGTAAACTAGTATAACTAGTTTTTCTGACTTTCGAATGTGGATTGCCTTTCGATTTTTCCGATTTTCGAAGGGTAAACCATGGTAAGCCAGTTCAGACTTGGCAAACGTGCTGTGGGAGTCTTACTGTAACATTTTGATGGAAAAAAATGCAATTATTGCTAAAATGTAAGGAATATCTGCATTATATACATATAAATACATATATCATATACATATGTGTGTGTGAAATACAGTGTGTTTCCATGGCGTTGCATGCATGCGTGTCTGTATATGTGCTTATGAGTATGCATATATATATATATATATTGCACATACAGTCACATACACATATATACATATATCAAATAAATTCAAATAATATAAATATATATGCATATAATATTTATACACTCATAAATAAATAAACAAATAAATAAATATATAAATATGCACAGATGGATCCCCATCGCTGCTCACTCGTTCAAGAGACCGCATGTGCCATGTGAGGATGTAGCAACACCTCAGTGTCCAACTTCAGTGGTTCACCTTCCTTCAGCTACAAACGATGCTGACAAATCCCCAAACTAAATGGAGGCTTGCAGCTGGCAAAATCATCTATAAACGGAAAAAAATCTATACGTTTGATTCCTGCTTGGTACACAATTTCTGGATTTCAAGACTCTTGCGGGTGACACCCTAATCTTGTAGCTCTTCTCTTGTGAGGTTCCTCTCAATTCTTTCAAGATCTTGCAGTGCTGCAGAACGACGGTCCGAGATGATTGCTATTCACCCCCTCCAGTTACATCCTGATCCATTTTCCCAAATGAACGTTGTCCATTTCCGCGAAAATTTATGGCGGTCATTTTCCCATTGGAATCCCATTAGAATGGTTGTATATGGTTATATAGTTATATAATACGTCATATCCAACACATCTCTTTTTATGGGTTATTTTACATTAATTAATACATATCTCTCAGATATGGTTATCCCACGAAAATCCATTCAGATCATAAGTACTCTCCAGTAATCAAGCATGGCAATTGAACATCTTCCATTTGCAAACGGATTTCCAAGCTATATATCTCCGTTTAGTTCAGGGATGTTCAGGGATTCTCCAGCTAGCCACGTTTGATTACCAAAGGATAGTGTGTGGATATGTGTAGATGATATCACATCATTCACATCCGCATTAGATCTTCCTAGATTTTCCTAGGTTTTCCCATATTTTCCCCTATTTTCCCCGATTTTCCCATATTTTCCCATTAAAATTCATGGATCAACAAGAACAGTCCACCGGGTCCACCGGGTCCACCGTCACCAGGTCGCCGCATCTCCCGCTCTCAGCTTCAGCGCCGTGGCCCTCCCCGGTGGTTCCGCAGCCGGCGCTGCGTCGCAGGGCAGGCCCTCGTAGTTCCGCAGCGGCGCGCCCTGCGCGGCCAGCGCGGCGGGATCGGCGGAAGGGTCGCAGATGCCTCGGGCGGCATCTGGAACCTTGAGATGATGGGAAAATTTACTGGAAAAACAAGATGGGTTTACCACCAAATATAGGGTTTTTCCATCTTGTCATAGAATTGGATGATGGGAAAATTTACTGGTTTAAGCCCTATATTTGGTGGTAAAAAACCATGGTTTCCGGTTCAGATTTTCCCTTAAACCAATCCAATGATCTTGGGACTGGGCTGTTCTTCATGGTTTCAGGTTGGAAAATGTTGGAAGTACCCCTGGAAAATGGAACAACTAGCATACAAACCACCTTTTTCCATACAAATCAGGAGGTTCAACATGTGTTTATCCCAAAAATATCAACCACCAATATCTATTGGGGATTATCTGGATTAATTTCCAGTCTCTAGACACTCATTTGGGCAATGTTCAAAAAATGAAATGTCATGGAATGTTATTGCATTCTACTGGTTGGTCAAGAATGGCGTTCCTAGCATGGATTGTGATAATTCCCGATATTATCCGGCAGTATACCCCGCCCAAAAAACATCGAGCAAGAGGGGTTTTGAACACTGCTCAGCCGTCAGCTGCGGATCACCAAACCTCATTAATTAGCATCCTATTTATATATATATATCCCATTATAGTTTACTGTATCCCATTCTGCCATCTATTTACTGATTGTACAGGGGGGGGAAGGACATCTATGGGGTTCATTCCAATTTTGCTTGCTGAAATCTCCATTTCTGCAGGTTAAATCCCCATTTTGGTTGGTTAAATATCTTAAATGCCCATCTTGAAATACAACCATGGTCAATCTTTGATAGTCCACAAAAACTCATCTTTTGCTGGTTATATATGGTTATTATATTAGTTATGTTCCATATTTATAGCAAAAAAAACAAAGGATCAAACTACCCATCCAGCCGGTTGGGATGTAACTGACCAGCCCGGCGTCCCAAAGCAGGCTCTCGTCGCAGGTGAACGTGGGAGCCGGGCCAGACGCACAAATTGCCACAGAGGACGTCATCCAAGGTGTCCTGCCGATCCATGGTGAGTTATGATGAGTTATGCCCTCTGTTAATTTGACATAGCTATGGAAAATGGTCCCGTTAATAAGTTTTTTTTAACCTATTAAAGATGGTGATCTTCCACAGCTTTTTGGTAGTTTACCAGAGGGTATAATCTCTTCTTTTTTTACTAAACCAGCCCCTTAAATAATGAAAACTACCTCCAGTTTCCCAGCCGGCAATCTTTGATTCCCATTTTTATCACCAGCATTCAGAAAGCAACTCCACCTACTTAGACCACCATTTTAAGGTTAGTTCAGTCCCTATATCACCTGGTTGGTGGTTGAGCCACCCCTCTGAAAAATATGAAAGTCAGTTGGGATGATTATTCCCAACATTTCCCAACATATGGAAAAATAAAAAATGTTCCAAACCACCAACCAGTCACCCATTTTGATCCATTTTCCGTAGATCGCCAGCCCAAAAATCTACAAAACTCCAGCGGCATCGACCCGTTCTGGACCGCTCCGTGAGAGCCACGCCCACGAGCAAACTGAAGGGATGGCGGCTGCACTGGCGCGTGCGGCAGCCATCCTGAGTCTTCTGCCGGTTGAACCATGGAAAATCCGGATTTAACCATCAAACACGGGGATTCAACCAACAATGATGATTGAACGATATAAATCAACGATATCAACGGAACATTTTTGAGGACTTCACCTAGCCACCCCAAACATGGTTTCTTCTTTAATCCCCTAAAAAGGTGTATTTTATAATTGATGATAACCAATGTGTACAGAATAAAGGTGACATTGACCAAACCAAATATATATATATATATATATTTATTTATCTATTTATGTATGTATGCAAAAGATACAGTGAAACATGCCAAATACTCCATGTATGTCGTACCTAAAATTATCTACCAACTGGGTTATTTTGGGTGCACATGTTGGCACATATTCCCTACATAGAGCATTGGGATTGGCGTATGGCACATGACCAAATATTGACAGTTGAGACACAAAAGACCTTAACGTCTAGTTATGTATAATTACATAATCTGTACCTAGATCAAGATCGGGGAACAAACAATTAATTCATGGGATACTGTAATAGGCCAATTGAAGGGACAAACCCGGTTTTACTGCTTGATAATTATCTATATAGATTCGGTAGCAAACACCAAATAGAACATAGAAAAATCATGGTAAAGATTCATTAGGGATTCAATGGAAAGGACGCTCAGTTTTCAAACGGCAATCATAGACAAGAAACAACAACAGGATACATTTGCCGCCACCCTCATTCGGCTTGCCATGGTACAATGACACTGCTAAAAAAGCAAGTCACCAATCAAACACAAATCAATCGGGAATCATCCTATCTTTATCTGAGAAGCTGCAACTATCACCAGCAAAATTTCCGAATAAACATTTTACCAACGATCATGGGATAGTTTCAGTCAGCCAATGGAAACCATCAAAATATGCTGCTACAGCTGGCTGTTCCATCCAAGCTCCGTGTGCCATTTCAGATCTTCCAACTCCAATTGCTGCGCGCCAAGAACTTCACCGGACCTCGGGGCAGGACTTCCAAGGTGGGTTTTTCACCATGAACCATACTGAATCTGAGCATAAACCAATATAAATCAACTTAGCTAAGTAAACCATATTAATTAAACTACTATATTAAACTCCATTAAAACCCACAAAAATCCATACACATATACACACATATATATATACATATATATATATATACATATATATATATATACATATACATAGTTAAATCCCAGGGCAGCAAGTCGTTGGCCCAGTGGCAGCATGAGCTCCGGAAAGCGCAGCGCCACCTGACACCTCTGCAGCTCCCGTTCCGTCAGCCGCCTTCGCCCCAACAGCTGTGCGGCCGCACGGCCAGCAGCGCTGTTGGGGTCCGAGAGCAGGGCTGGGAACTGCGGATGGTGGAGGATCTTGCCCTCCAACTTCCCTGGAGGAATACTTGGAGGATCATCCCACGGATAACTAATGACCGGTCAATAAACATAATCTATGAATCTATAAATATCATTAAATATCTATAATCCAGTTATTGGGATAGACTTAGGGTTATTAACGACTTAGTGGGATGATCCTCCAAGGATCAAGTAGGATCATTTGGAGGATGTCAGATCCAGGAGAACGGACAAAGAGATTGGCGAAGGTTGGGGGTTGTAACATGTTGTAACATGATGTAACCATCAACCCCCCTACTCGTGGCTTGCAAACAATCCTTTTTTGACAGGGGGAATTATATGGAATAATTGAACAGCATTGAAGGGCCCCCCCTCGAATTTTCCATGAAAATGAACATCCCGCGATTCAGGGATCATTGAACGGTGATCGTCAACTCGTCATGTCTTAGGTCCAGGTCTGTCTTTTTTGCACCAGTTCTTGTTGACCAAATATTTTGCACCATTTTGCAACCAAGGCACCCATGCAATCGAAGCCTCCATCGGTGATTGCCCCTGGCTGCCCCAGATAGTGGTGGACCAAAGCGCTGGCAGGTTCCCACAGCTCAGCAGGAACTGCTTGCGGCAGCACCAGCACACCGCGTTCTCAGAGGTCGGGAAGGGGTGCTGAATGGGTACCGAGATCTGGCGAAATGCCTGCAATGAAGAAGTAGGGTAGTAAGTACTGTAGAATTTACTTAGAATTTACAAATGAAAATAATGAAACACATGTATAAGTTGGCATTGCTCAACCGGGCATGGACACACATTTACGATACTATCGTAGCTACATTAAACTAACAAAAATCTGACAAAAGGTAGCTCTCCCACGAGTTTGAACAATTCCTCGTTGATCAAAGGGTCAATGTTTCCCACGGGTGACCAAAATGGTGCTCACAGGGGATGTTGATGAAGGTCCCCCAACACATGGCGCCATTTAATGGTGTGTTTTCAGCCCTGTTGAGTCAAAAAAAACCGTCTTTGTCGAGGAAGTCCCAGGTTTCGAATCTTTTGTTAGATGATCTCCGATCATAATTTCTTGGTCGCATGACTACATTTCTATATGTTTCAAATATTTCAATATATCATATTTGGTGGTCATATTCCAACCAACTCCTTGGATGTGTCCACGAGAGTCACCAGCAAAGTCCCCCCTGAAAGTCCCCGCGCCACGCACGTGTATATATAAAACATATAAACATATATAATTACATACATACGTACGTGTGCACATACACATTGCATGCGTATTTAAAATATAATATATTATGTATATATATATATATATATCATACGGCACTATATGTCGTACGTGAAATTTAATGTCAACGGGATCGTGATCATCCCAGTTGCAATGATGGAAGAATAATGGAAACATGTTCAATCCCACCCCTTGCACATCCTTAATAATAAGGATCTTCGTTTATGGGACCTCAAAATGAACACATCCACCATTACATCCCACTTCAGCTATTCCTATTCCTGGCGATGCCCACGTTTGTTGGTTAACTTCCCATTTTTGGGATCAATTATCATCAATTATCCATATTTGGCTGTGTGAGTCGCCATTTTGCTGGAGAATGGCACTTCCAATGACCAGATATCGACCAAATGACCAAAAGTCACTCGCAAAGTTCTCGTCTCTGAAACTCTCAAATTCATCACTTTCATCAGATCATCTTCCGCATCATCCGAATTGAAAACCAACCATTCAATGAATATTCCAGTTATATCTGTTCCAGTGATGTTATTGGGATATAACCAACAGATATAACATCATCACACCAAATCATCTTCCAATGATCCCATCACCGATGGTCACCCTCTTCTACACCTCCAAATAAAGCTATATAAATCCCCCTAAAAGTATAAACATATGACGTGGAAAAAACCGTATGATCCAAGAATGGACCCAAATAGATGTTTCCTAAAATGGTGGTACCTCTAAATCATCCACTTTATTTTCGGATTTTCCATTCTAAACCATCCAGCGATAAAGGGGTAGCCCCATGTACTCCCGTGAGTTTGGAAACCCCCAAATCATCAAGGCAACTTGATTCAAAGTAACTGGCAAAGTTCCTGATCTCCAGCTCAGTCATTGAAACTCCTCCACGATCCCTCGACTCCGATACACCCAACTGCGGTCCGCTGACGCCTCGGTGAAAGGATCAGATTTTGGGCAAACATGTGGATCAACTGCACGCAAACAAATGCACAAAAGTTCACACATGTGTTTTTTATATATGAGCAACTTGGCAGACCTGTCCAAACGAAAACATTTGGAGGATTTCTCAGCAAGAGCTGATTCAAATCATTTTTCGGTGCTTTTCTGTGCTGTCCATGGCCAATCTAATTATCCTGCCAGAAAAATTGCCTTTGGCTGGTTAGGTTGTCCCTTTTTAACAAGAGATGAACATACTTGGTGGTTCACTTCAGCTGGTAAGTAAGATCGAACTCTCATTATAAGCAGGGCAGGTTGGGTTACATAGTTCGGTAAACATTGGGAACAACTTACTATTTCTGGGGTGGTCCATCAAGCATTATTTCACAATATTTCACATTTTATATTAACCAGACTTAACCACCACTAGAAATCACCAAAATCACTGTAATCACCTAATCACCACAATCACCCTAATCACCATGAAATCATATTGATCCCATCTTTTTCTCACCAAAAACATAACAAATATATACAAATATAATATGCTGGTTATTAAATGTTATTAATCATTATTAATCCATATTAGCACATCTGAACCCATATTGCTCCCAACTGTTCTAAGGTTCACCTCAACAGTCTTACCCAAACATCTGGATAAATTGTAAAAAATACTTGGCTTCGAGTGATCCCCACCCGGACATATAATTCTCACATTCTAATCTCACATTCTATCCGGCATTCTACCTGACTTTCTATCTTGTTCTATCTATCTAACATATATTCTGACATATTCTGACCATCTTTCTGGCATTTTCTCTGCTCTCCAGGCACGTCTTCGGGTCCAGGCGTGCCCGAACAAGTCCAGGAGTTGCACCTGGGGGGAATCACTTCCTATTGAGACAGCCACATTGCATTGAGGTTGCTGTGAGGTCATTATGTTTTACCCGGATCCTATATAACATTCCATAACATTACATAACATTACATAACATTATATAACATTAGATAACATTGTATAACCTAATATAACAATACATAACATTATATATATACTATTATATATATAAAAAAAACACACATTAATGCCCGGTAACAATCCCATTCTTCCATTGCTTCCCATAAAATCTGATGCGTTACCAAAACCTCCACCGAGACGCCCTCAGCAACCACCTCAACGAAGACCGAGTTCTCGCTTTCCGCGGGTATCACTTGGAGCGCACCACTTGGCGCCACGGCCAAAGAAAGCTCCGGGCGTCGCGCACTGCGGATCTCAAGGCCTTGTGGGAATCAATGGGTGATGGGTTTTGCAAAACATAAGGGATTAACGAATAAACATAGCAATGTTAACCAACAAGATTGGAGATTTCACGGGTAAAAACGGAGATTTAAGCAAAAATATAGGGAGTAACCATGTAGAAATGATCTTCAAAGGATTGGTTTTAAGGGAACATATTAACGTGAAGATTGCCCCCAGTTTCCTTAGAGTTTTCCCTTGAACCTGATTTCTTTCATGGCTACGCTTCGACCGTAACGCTGGTAACGGGAAGACAAGCTGCAAGATGCGCCGTTGGACTCCCAGCTTTCAACTTGCCAGAAGAGGGGCCAGTCTCTCCTCAGAACCGACGGGCACTGTAAAATGTATGGGGGTGAGAAGAAACATGAACATGATAAAGTGTCGATTTGTTCAAAAACATAATATAAGCACTATTGGAAATATCCATTGAGGCAAAGTCCCAGTTCACCCAGTGTAGCCCACGAGTTGAAACTTGCTCTAAAGCCATTTGGGCTATCTCCAAAACTCTATTGCCCCAAAATGGAATATCTATTTTTCCTTCGTTATAAAGGGTCACCTTTGTTTTACAGGGGTTTGCGTATATGTGCCATGGGATTATCTTAAATGGCTAGTAAATGGTATTTGAAATTTATATATTCTTTCAAGGACGATCCATTTGCCAACTGGTCAGTGAACTCCATGAAAGTGGAAAACACCTGCAACATGAGAAAAGCACCTTTTCCTCAAAGGCTGATATCACTGTCATCGGGCTGCCATGCTTTGTATTTCCGTTTCTTTTTTGCCAAATGGCTGGCCAATTGGCGTTCGTCTCTGAGACACAGGCTTGCCACTGTGCGTGCTGGTTTCTTCTTCATGTCTGGACGAGTGGATGGCCGATCTTTTTGACTTTGGTATTTTCTTGTGATTGCGTTGTCGCAACCTAATTCCAATGGCGGTTTCTGCCAGGATGGGTCCTGGAAATATCCTTTTTTCCATTCTGCGAATTCCGGTGCTTTCTCCTCAACAGAGAAATTCAATCTGGCGAAGCTCCCAGAATCCGAAAAAATCCAATTGCGGATCTGCACCCCGCTGGCTGCAGACTTGGAAAGCAGGCTTTCAAAGCAATAGCTGCGATTGATCTGGCAATTGTGCATAGTGATCACTTTGGCGGCAGGTCTTCGCGCAGGCAGGGTAGGAACCTCGATCACCCATTCAGGACCATCAGGATTAGCAGCTTGTTCTTTGGCTGCCTGTTCTTTTAAAGCAGCTACTACTTGCCGTTCGTTCTCCGCAAAAAAATCAGGGCGTAGGCAAGCTTGTTTCAGAAATCGCCTCATGGGGGAAAATATTTGAGCATCACACGGTCCTTTTCCATGTTTTTCCACCAGGTAGCGGGTAACGCAGGGTTGTTTGTATTGGAGCGGGATGTAGATCATGGTATTGTGCGCAGCCTCATAAGACCTAAAATGATTGCCTGCGTCAAATACGAAAATCAATTTCTTCAGCTTGCCCTTGTTCAGAACTTCCTTCTCCACCGCCTTGCGAATGAGGAGCGATGCGAACAGTGCGCTTTTCTCTAGGACCTCTGACACGTAGAGAACGATACGTGTTTTGACTTGGTTTTCAATCCATTGGCGCAAATAGACGCCAAATACTGACAAAGTTTTTCTAGCAGCCCCGTGCCACATGTCACTTGTTTCTTCGTGAGCAATGGGCACACCTATGTTTTCGCTGAAGTCAGCTTGGAAATAACATGTGCCAGGCTCCAAAGTCTCAATGCTCCTTCTCATGGAAGCTTGCTCGCGCGCAGCGGCGAGGATATGCCATTCATAGGATTGAACAATGGAAAGATGCAACTTCAACTCTTTGACTAGTTGTCCTTCTTCATGTTGGACCTTCCAAGGTTCGGGTGCATTGCGGCGGGTGGCCGCGTGATCCTTCTCGCGCGTGACCCATAAATACGTCTTCAAAATGTTGAGCTTTTCCTCTGCTTCAGAAGAGTTCATGATCCGCGTGTGGCGCCTGTTTGACCAAAATGGATTCCAATATCCAGGGCAGACTGTGGCCATTGTGTTTTGACAGCGCTTGATGAAAGCGTTGACTCTAGGCAAAATCTTGTTCCTATAGCCTACGCAATGGTCACACAAATCAGTTTTGCGAAATCCCTTGCGAAATTCTTGACAATGACGACCGACAAGACAACGGAACTGAGTTTCTGCCAGGTTCCGGTAAATTGAAGGATTGGACCTGTAAATGGTGCTGAGCTGGGCTGTCAAAGTTCGTCTCTGCTTTCTCATGCGCACAATGGTGCCATCCGGTTGTTTCTCTTTGACAACGCATGTACGGGAAGCTGCAACGGAGGATTTCGCCAAAGTAGCTCGAACAGCCTGAATGCACAGGGGGTTGTTTACCTTTGATGGTCGGCCGGCCGTCTTTGGCGGTCTTTTGCTCGTTGATTTCTTCAAATGCCATTGTCGCACACGTTGGTTAGAAACGTTGTAGCCCAAGGCCCGCATTTGCTTTGCAGAAGCCAAGCCGCCAGAACAAACTGCATCATCCAACAAGGAAACAAGTGACTTGGGACTATTCAGCCACGTGTCTCTGAGTTTGCCTAGGGAAGGAAGCAAAGTTCGGCAGCAGCAGTCTGCATCCTTGCTCAGCTCAGCTGCAACTTTGTCAGCGGAACCAACGCATGTTTTGTTGACTTTTTGTATTGCCAAGAACAATAATTCTGAAGCTTCCTCTGGTGTACTGCAACACTGCAGAACTATCTCTGATATAGCCTTTACTCTGTCAGCCTTGGCTCTGTCACCAAACTCACCCCAGGTTGAACTCCGGGATTTACGCGTCGAACTACTAGGCTGACTGGCGTCCGGGCTGGGGAAAAGCTCTCGCGGCGCGATGGGGCTGCTGGCTTTTGTGCTTGGCGCTGGCGCTGCATGCGGGGAAACTACTAGAGGCGAAGTACTTTCTCGCGTTGCAGGGGATTGTGCTTGCAATGGTCTGTGCTTGCTCTTTGTCAAGAACCTCTCTTGCTCCTCCTGTGACTGTGTGGGCCACCAAGTTTGGGGCAGCCAGGTGCGAATGAACCAGCGGCGCTGGTCATTGGTGAGGGCGCCAACTCTTTTCCGGGTTTGTGGAAATCTCTCTGCTGCAGCAGAAATCACTTCTTGCCGGGCTGTTTGATCATTCAAAAGGTGTGTGAGACAATCTTTGAAAAAGGAATCATGGTCCCTCATCTGGAGCCACGTGCTTTCAAGAGGTGTTTTCGTGGAAATGACCTTCGTTTTTACCTTCGTTTTGCCTTCGTTTCAGGTCGGCTCCAGAAAACCAAATCTGCACAGTGAAAAACAATATAGCAAGCAACCGGTGATCATCTCTTTTTCGCTGCTACACAAGCTGCTGTCAACGTCGCACGGCGACAATTTGGAGACTGGACTTGCCCCGGACACGGCGCAGAGGCGCCAAGTCATTGGCCGGCCGCTTTGCGGCAGGAGCCTCAGGCGCTGGTGTGCAAGCAAGGCAGTCACAGAAATCCAGGTTGCTTTCCCGGAGCTGATGTGCCTTGCGAGCTGAAGCCGCCCGAAGTTTCTTCAGGACTCCTGGGCATTCCTTTAAGACTGCAATTTGCCAACCGCAAGACAATTTCAAAGCAGCATGTTTGCAGGCATAACACCACGATCCACACGCGGAAGTGCCTCTGGTTCCCCACCGAGTCTCCCACTTCACATCGTGCTTCTTTCGGTTACAAACACAACACTCCAAAGATTTCTTAAAGTTGGCTCTGCCAATGTTTCCCCGATTCTGAGGGACATGTCTGGCCCTCGCTGCTGCAAGGGCAGCCAGCTCAGCCGGAGTCAAGGTCGTTGCAGCGTCCTGCACACAAGAGATGAGTCAAGGGATGCAGGGCAAATGGTGAAGGACGTGTTAATCACTGAAGAAAAAGTACCATAAATCTAAGTCAAGCATGGTTCTGAGCAGCCACCTCCTGCCAAAGGAAAGTATGACATGACGCTGGCACATGTTGACAGCTGCAGGCGCCATGCCTGGATCGGCTCACCCTGGGGCATGTCTTGGTTCTCAGCAGCCACCTCCTGCCAAAGGAAAGTATGACATGACACTGGCACATGTTGACAGCTGCAGGCGCCATGCCTGGATCGGCTCACCCTGCGGCATGTCTTGGTTCTCAGCAGCCACCTCCTGCCAAAGGAAAGTATGACATGACACTGGCACATGTTGACAGCTGCAGGCGCCATGCCTGGATCGGCTCACCCTGCGGCATGTCTTGGTTCTCAGCAGCCACTTCCTGCCAAAGGAAAGTATGACATGACACTGGCACATGTTGACAGCTGCAGGCGCCATGCCTGGATCGGCTCACCCTGCGGCATGTCTTGGTTCTCAGCAGCCACCTCCTGCCAAAGGAAAGTATGACATGACACTGGCACATGTTGACAGCTGCAGGCGCCATGCCTGGATCGGCTCACCCTGCGGCATGTCTTGGTTCTCAGCAGCCACTTCCTGCCAAAGGAAAGTATGACATGACACTGGCACATGTTGACAGCTGCAGGCGCCATGCCTGGATCGGCTCACCCTGCGGCATGTCTTGGTTCTCAGCAGCCACTTCCTGCCAAAGGAAAGTATGACATGACACTGGCACATGTTGACAGCTGCAGGCCCCATGCCTGGATCGGCTCACCCTGCGGCATGTCTTGGTTCTCAGCAGCCACTTCCTGCCAAAGGAAAGTATGACATGACACTGGCACATGTTGACAGCTGCAGGCGCCATGCCTGGATCGGCTCACCCTGGGAAATGTCTTGGTTCTCAGCAGCCACCTCCTGCCAAAGGAAAGTATGACATGACACTGGCACATGTTGACAGCTGCAGGCGCCATGCCTGGATCGGCTCACCCTGCGGCATGTCTTGGTTCTCAGCAGCCACCTAAAGGAAAGTATGACATGACACTGGCACATGTTGACAGCTGCAGGCGCGATGCCTGGATCGGCTCACCCTGCAGCATGTCTTGGTTCTCAGCAGCCACTTCCTGCCAAAGGAAAGTATGACATGACACTGGCACATGTTGACAGCTGCAGGCGCCATGCCTGGATCGGCTCACCCTGCGGCATGCCTTCGTTCTCAGCAGCCACTTCCTGCCAAAGGAAAGTATGACATGACACTGGCACATGTTGACAGCTGCAGGCGCCATGCCTGGATCGGCTCACCCTGCGGCACCACGCCCTGCAATTGGGCACCCCGCCAGCTTGGCAATGCATCAGGTGCTTGGTGCCTAATCTTTGCTTTTAATTATAATTAACGTGAACATAAAGCCTGCCTCCTGCGCATGCATTCCCCGAGCGGCAGTGTCAGGAACTTCCCCCAGTTCCTGGCGACAAGCGCCAGCAAGGGGCGTGCATACACAATTTCTACTTCACGCCAGACCTTGCCATGCTCCCCGGCATTCGCCATTGATGAAGATGCTGCAGCGTGAGCACCTCCACTGTCCTGCAAGGACAGCCACCAACCGTCACCAACCCCACCCACCACCAGCAACACCAGCAGCACCAGCAGCACCAGCAACAACATCAACAGCAACCGCAACAGCACAGCAACAGCACAGCAACAGCAACAGCAACAACAGCAACAACAACAACAACAACAGCAACAACAACAACACCAAGCCAAGGAACATCTCCGCGGCATCCTCGAAGACGATGTAGGCACCTGGCAGCGAGACGGCTGGCAAGCATGAGGTAGGGGAAAACAGCAAAGCAGCAGCACCCAACAGCAACGCCAACAGCCACCAGCAGCAAACCCACCCAGATTCCACACACACACACATTTCGCTGGCTCCTTTCTCTGCGGGGTCGCCACATGGTTTGGACGGCCATTTCGCTCAGCCTGCAACTCAGTGGGCTTAACCCACTACAAAAAAAATGGGCCACTACCACTTCACTTCTCACCCCTGTTGCAAGTTGCATACATCTTTTAGATCCTTTCCAGATATCCCCTTGCCTTAGGTGGCTTCTTTGACAAAGCCTTCAGCTTATCCACGTCACTTTCCCCGCTTTCTTTCAAGATGGTCCGCAAGGATTCGAGCTCAGATAGGCTGGCACGTGAACAAATCCGCGGGCCACGCTTGCCATTGGGTTTTACCTAGGCACGCTCTTGGCTGCCTCTAAGAAAATCCTTTCCCTATAACCTAAAACGTTTAAAAAAAAAGTAGCTGCTAGAAGCCAAAGCTACCAACCAAAGGACGTGAGCATTCGACATTGTGTCATACCTTACCTCTTCCGAAATGGTAAACTCCACCATGGCCGCGTGTGATATCGAGCGCACAACTCAGAGCCTCAAAGCCTAAATGCTGATGACACAAATTCTCTAAGATCATTCCAAGCTAGACCACTCCGGGCACTTCGATTTGTCTGCTGGTTAGGACCATGTTTCTGCCAGTGATTCAATCTCACCACTCTTTCCTGACGCTTTCCCTTCGTTATAAAGGGTCACCTTCGTTTTTGGAGGTTTTGACCTATATTCCATTCCAATACATATCCCTTACATAGACCTTTTTGGCGGTAGCTCATTTGCATCCTAGGATCATCATGGATGTATCACCTGGTATATCTCGGAAGATGGGGCTATGAGCCCCACAAAGTAGACCCAAGCTGGTTATCAAAGTGAACTCATGTGAAACTTTTTCAAAAGGTCAGTAAAGTGAAACTACTGTGATTGTACACAATTCAAATTTTATTGGACATATCATATACTATCGCCAAAATCAAATTCCCAGATGTTTAGCTGGCTAGTACATATCCCGTTCCATAGCAAAAATAAAAGGTACACAACAGCCATCCAAGATTTGCCCCCAAATACCCAATGACACCCAATAACTCTAAGTTTTTTAGGTCACAAGACGACTTAAAAAAAACGCAGCTCTAAAGCTCCAATATCATCCAGTTTCCATATAGTGTTCATGGGTTTCCCAGCTCTAAACCTCCATTTTTCATATCTTTTCACGGGGCTTCCAGGATTTCCGCGCCATTCTTCACGCCCAGTTTCTCGCTGCCCACGGCATGACTCAGCCCAAGCTCGCCCTCGCCAGGCAGCAACGACAAACCTGGGCGAGGGCCAGGTCATGCCGATGATGATTATGATGTTCTTTGGAATCTTTCATTATGGCAAACATCATGATGTTGAATATTTATTAGTATGTTAATTACAATGTTTATGAGGTTTACACATTATTTATGATAATTATGTTTAGTAATTTCATGATGGTTGCTATCATAAATGAATAATTATCATAAAATAATGATTGTAACAAAAATAACATGTGTTAAATAATGATTATAATAAATAATGATCATTGTTAGAAAATAATCAGCAAAATTATGGTTATAGTTAGTAACCTCCATCATGATTGTTTAGTAAATTATCTTAAATAATGTTTATCATGATTGGGATATTATTTACTAAACATGATGTTCATTAACAATTATTATCTTAAATGTTCGAATGTTTATTAAATAAATAATGAAAATTTTACTGTTCATATTATGGTAAATAATTCATGAACATGTTTATAATATTATGGTAAAAAACATGGTGGCATTTTTTATAGATCATGAAAATGTTTATTGTGAACATCATCATGATATCTATACCGGAGTATTGTCACTACTCTGGGTAAATTACAATATTTCACGAACCTGAAATAAGGCCTCACATGGGGATGATTCCCCTTACGAACCATCATTCCTGCAAGGTTGCAGTGAGGTAGATATAGTGCTCTCTCTCTCTCTCTCTCTCTCTCTCCATCGCCATAGTTTACCCGGATTGTTTTTCCTATATGTATATATATGATCATGGGCATTGTGCCTATCATTGTTTTTCTTATTATTGTTATTATTATCATTATTATCATTACTATCATTGTTTTTTTTATGTTTATGATGATGATAATGATGATGATGATGATGATGAGGATGATGAGGATGATGAGGATTTTGAAGTTTCACCATGGTTCGCCTCCTATAGTTGTAGGTGTTTTTTTCAGTGTGACCCTCTGCCGAATTCCTGAAAACCATGCTGCGAAGCTCCCATGTAATGATTCATGTCCCACATTAGCCGTCCCAAATCTTCAAGTTCTTCGTTTAAAAAATGTTCTCAAGCAATCTCCAGTGTTTCAATCCGTGAATCATGTATTAATGAATGAATCCAAACAACATGTGACTCTGTTAATCAAACATTGAAAACATCCCCCAGCCTATTTAGATGACTTTTCTCACTGTTTCCCTCCATTTACGGAGGATCTCCTCATCTCACCTTGCCGTCGCGGTCACGTTGAAACGGCTGCTGCGGCGCGCTGAGCAGCAGCGCCTTGCCGCGACGTTCCACCAGAAAGTCGAAACGCCGGTGGCTCAGAACGTGTTCCAGGTGCACCTGATCTCGCTGCAAGGTGCATTACAGATGAGGATATAATAAAGATATCTATATGGTGTAATATGGTTTAATGAAATATAATGGGATGAATTAATAGTGGGGATGCAGTTTGATAAAAAAAATATACATAATGGAATATAATGGAATATCATGTGGGTAAAACAATGAATCATCAACCAGCCATGACTGGGAATGGTTAACATCCCACCGATAAAACGGGTGATTTTCCTGGGGGATGGTGGGTTTATGGCATTGTTTTAGCCACATTTTGATGTTCCAAGGTGCTGCCCCCCTTCCAGTTATGCGAGTTATAAATCAACTCTGCTAACTACGGGGCACCATCTTGTATGAAGATGTTCACCTTTTTTTTTAGTGTGAACCCTTCCTAATGTAGGGATTAGCGGTAGGGAAATGGTGACATAATATTAATGATTATTAATACTCTACGGGGTATAGGATCAGAACAGATTTTAGAATATGCCCCATATGGGATAAAATGAGCATATTGTTCCCAGATTAATCCTAGTGATATTGGAATTCATTAATAATCCAGATTAATCCTAGTGATTTTAGATTAATCTCGCATGGAATTCATGTATGATATTGGTTCGAAACGATTGGATTAAGAACTGGAATCCCATACATCGTGGCGGGAAGACTTTTTTGAGCCATGTACCATGTTGTGAACATGCCGCATATGGGATAAAATGGATCAATGTGGATTACTATGGCCTGGCAACTGGAATATTATGTCCATTACAATCATAATTACTGGTTGGTGGTTGGGCCACCCCTCTGAAAAATATGAGTTCGTCAGTTGGGATGATTTTTCCCAATCTATGGAAAAAACAAAAAAAATCTTCCAAACCACCCACCAGATAATCATAATGATGTGGCTGAGAAAAGATGGAATTGATATGCACGGTGATCTCCGGCATCAAGGGATCAATATGGATCGCTACTTGGTGGTTCAGCAGGGATGTCGGAGGATTTCGGAGGCATGGTAGTTCACCCGAACAAGTGGATTAATATGGATTAAGAACTGGAATATGGTTTCCATGAAGATTTTGGGTCATTACGGTGATTTAATTTGCCATTTGCAGAGTGTCTATGAAGGATGTCCTTTCATTTCAAACGTTGGTCTGTAAATCTACACCAACTGTTTTTCAGGTGCAGTGTAGGAGGACTAGCCACTGATCAAACATTAAGCAGTGATTTGAATGACTGGTGATTGGTGATGAAATGATTACGGTCCTTGTTAATGTTGATTCTCAATGATTCCGGAACTCCCAGGCCAAAAAAAATATGTAAATGGTAGGTTAATAATTATCCCCATTTCACAGTATATAATCAATCAACCATATCATTTACCAATATTCCCATACTTTTCGTTGAAACCAATATTTGGAGTGAAATTCAAACAAACAAACCGCCAACCATTGGGCGCAATTATCAACTATATCCATGTATATCGCGAATATCCCCATCTCTTTGGTGTTTCTAACCACTGGAAGTGCTTGGGGCCCCAATCACCATTTTTGCCAACTTTTCACCATGGTGAAATCGTCGTGTGTTTCTTGGAGTCCCAACTTTTCTCAGTTAAGTCAGTATGTCTTTGTCAATGATAGTGAATTTGATTGAATTTCTGCATAATTGAATAGAGTTCATCATCATTTACCCTCTGGTAATTTTTAACATAGCTATTGAAAATGACCATTGAAATAGTGGATTTTCCCATGAAAAATGGTGATTTTCCATAGTTTTTTGTATGTTTACCAGGCCGGGTATCCAGTTGTCTTTCTTCGTTAAGCCACCGGTTTTTTTTCCCAGCCATACACCTCCATGCATAGGGCACTTAGATCACCATTTGGCTATGGTTTGCTTAGCATAAAATAGCTGACTAACTTCGAGTTGATGTTGATTTCCCCCATTTATATATATATATTTTTTCTACATGGTATAGGTAACACTTCATGTTGCTGCCCCCCTTTATATGGTAACCTTTCATAGGTAACTTGACCCATCCATCCATTTCATGGTGAAACCCCTTTGTTCACAGCCTCGGCCAGGGTGCCACCTTCCCCGTCTGCCAGCGCCATTTGCTCCTTGCTGCGGCTGCTACCAGGCCGACCGTTGCGGTGTTGGAAAAGACCTGACACGTCCTGGTGCGCTTAACGGACGTTGGGGAAATGGGTTTCATGGGTTTTTATGATGTTTTGATGCAATCTGATTGGGTTTTGATGGGAATGGCTTTAATGCTGGCTTAATGGGGGTTGATGGGTTTTAAGTCTTTTAATATTTTCAATGGGCTTTGCTTGATGGGTTTTAATTGGTTTTACTAATGTGTTTTAGGGGAGGTTAATGTTGTTTCACTGGTATATTCATGGCTTTTGGTGTGGTGGAACATGATGCTTATTTATCTTAGTTTGGATAATACCTCCCAAACAAATGCAAAAATGGATCAAAAAGGATTGGCATTACCACTAGTTTTTTAGCAATTGATTTTACGGTTTTTGCATTATTTTGAGGGGGTGCCGTCTTATGGTCTCAGAAACCGACATCAGTATCAGTTTATCATTGTCTAAAATAAATGTTTGGTACAAGTGTTGTCCTCTTAAAAACTTGATGAGTCTTGATGGTTAGATTAGTGATGATTGAATATAACACACACACACATACGGAGCAAAATAAAATAAAACAAAAGAAGTAAATCTGCAGTTCCCAACGGGTCTTCAACATGGACCCATACCTTGCACATGACCCTCATCCACTGTTAAGAGTGACGGTTGCTGGGAACCCCCTTCTGTACAACAGGGACGTTTGAGGTGGCAGGCCAGTCTTAAATAATACTTTACAACACTTCCTCCAATTGTTTCCATAAAAGATTGGGTATATCTATCTCATTGATGGACAGATTACCAGGAGGGTTTTTTGTGCAACCCATTCTTAAAGGATCATCCCACTTAGCAACTGGCTAGAAACTTGGTTTATAAAAATCAAGTCCTTATAACATGTTACCAATTCATCATGGGATAACCCAGCCAGGGTACTTCTATTCAAGGGTCAGTAGCCAGCTACTAGCCTCCACATTTTTTAACTACGGCAATGGAAAACCACACATTTAGTCCGATCATGTTCCCATATTTGTCCCAAAAGTTGGGATTCTCGCCATCTCAAATTTCTCAAGGATACCCTCTGGTAAACTAACGTAACTATGGGAAATCACAATTTTCAATGGGAAAATCCACTTATAAATGGTCATTTTCAATAGCTATGTTAAATTACCAGAGGGTACCCTCCAGTCAACTCGCATAGATCTGAACAATCCATATGTAGATCCCCGTGGATTTCCCACATTTGTTTCGATGTTTACTGGAGGGAAATATCGTCGTCATTGTTGAAAATTGTTCCCATTATCATTATGTGTTTATATAGTTATATATATAGTGTTTAATATATATATATATAAATATATAAATATATTATATCCTAGTATATGGCAATGGGTGCATATATATATATCATATATATATATCACATATATATATATATATATATATCATATATATATATCATATATATATATATGTAGAAACATTATCCTATGGTAAACATTTAGACACCCATTTTTGGTTGGTTAAATCCTCCATGTTTTCTCCATCAACCCCAGGGCCTTGTCGACCCCAACCCTGGTGAACGCCAAGCCGTAGAACTGCACCAAGCCCCCCGTCGCAGTTCACGTGGTCCGCTACGACGCAGCGTGGGGCCCGCGAGGCCCGAGGGGCCGGGAAGCATGGCAACTTGAACCCGGCGCAGCTGAGGAAAACACCTATGGCTATGGTACAAGACCAAATCCTAAAAGGAGCAAACCATGGGGACCAGCATTCATTTTTTCGTTGGATACTGCAAAAAAAAATGATTTTGAACTTTGAACTGGGAAACAACCAAAAAAACGAATAAACATGGATAGCCTATAAACCGTTTTCATCCCAAATATACAGTATCCCCCAGGTATAGGAGCGACTCCTCAAGCATGTGCAAGTTGCAATTGCCCATGCTACTGGGAGACGCCCGAATTGGCAGTTGGGCGGTTGGTAAATGTTGGTAGTAGACGGGTTTGGACCCTTCTGGGCAAATGACATCAAATGTCCAAAATAATTGCCTCAAAAGAATTCAATTCTTAGTCAATCAATCCTGCACGGGATAGTTTTTCATTGTTCCATGATTTATCCCAAGAAGAAGAACATGTATCAAGGTTTATCCGCATTTTTGTACTGGTAAAGTCACCTGTGTTTTTGCTGAGTTACAAATCCATCAGAACCCAACCAAAATCCAAAGACAAATCTCATCAATCGCACAAAAAAATCAATCAAAAACCAATAGTACATATCCAATCGTACATAAAAACTATACAAAAACTCAATTCCAATAGTACATATTTCAACATGAACCGTAGTGCATGTAGAAAAATAACAAAACTCATCTTGAAATCTCCATCGACTCCCCGCCTCGGTGAGGAACATGATCCCAGCACCACTGCTACGACGGCCATTCTTGCGCGGTTGGTCCGGGCGCAGGCTCCCCGAGTGGCTCACCGGGGCCTCACAAAGCGCGTTGAAGATATTGAGAATCGTACATTCACATATGAATATTTAAGCATCATACAGAGTATAATATATATATATATATTAATATATAACATAACGAACGAATTGTGCATGCCATCCACTCAACTAACAGAACTAACAAATGCTGAGAATCTGCTGGGACCCAGGGGGTCCCGTGGGCAACTTTTTGGGGGATCACGGGATCACTGGGAATGGTCACAGAATCTATGGAGGTGTACCCGTTTTGTCATGGGGGTAGCCCTCAAAATTCATGACAAAACGGAAACCTCCATAGAAATAAAAAATAAACCATGGTTTTTCATTATCAATTTATGGTTTTTCATCATCAATTTATGGATGTTCCATGAAATAAACCATCCAGCGATAGTATCGGGGTACCCCACTGACTACGGAAACCCCCAGCGATGGAGCCTAGAAGCTGTGTAAAAATCCAACAAGGCACTTGAGAATGGATGCATATGGTCCATATGGTCAATGTAACCAGTGAAGCGCCTTGAGCCCATTGAATTTACCAGCCTAGACACTATCTGCCTTTGATTCTCAGTGGGATGTGAACAAACCACATCCCAAACACTTGGATCACAGCACAAAAATTTCCGATATATTGGCGATTGCACAAATCACAAGGAGACATGAGATGGGCTTGCCACGTCCACATGCAAATGTATGCATGTCAAAGAGCTCAAATGCACAATGAGAGAGGGGGAGAGTGGGAAAAGTACTGAGGGATGCATGTACGAGTACAATCTCATACTTTTATGAATAATTACCCTCTGGTTATGTCAAAATAGCTATTGAAAATGGCCATTTATAGTGAGTTGTCCCATTAATAGCATGGTGATTTTCCATAGTTATGTTAGTTTACTGGAGGGTATGTTCAATGATGTCAAGATAATGTTAAGACAAACAAAGGATTTTGTTGTCTGTGCTCAAGACGAAACATGATGCTTGGCTGGGCCAACAAACGGCAGCACATACCATGCTCAAACCTGGTTCAAAATCCAACGTCGTGACCTATGGATATGCAGTAAATAGGCGACGATTAATTGTGTAGATAGGTGATGTTACCATGATTTTACACTTAAATATAGGTAATTGTAATCACTATGATTCTAGAATCAAATAGGGGTCAATTTTATCGGTTCACCATTCAATAGGTGATTTTAGTTTTATTGTGACGTTCCAAGATTTTGCAATGATGTTTACCATTAAATATGATATGTTTCCATGATTTCACAATCAAATAGATAATTTCACAACGAATTTGCCATGTCAATAGTAGATTTTACCATGGTTTCACAATTAGATAGTTGATGTTACAATGATTTTGCCGTTGAACAGGAGGTTTTAGCATGGTTTTAGTATGTTTTACTCTTTTATATGTAGCATGCATTTGTATATGTATATAAATATATATCCGTGTGTGTGTGTGCGTATATTCTATCATTTCACCATTAATTAGCTGGTTTTCTCATTTTACCATGGATATCAATTTTGAACATATGCATACGTAGTAATAATAGTAATAATAACATATTTTAAAAAATATATACCCTGTATATATATATTATCATTATTATTATTATAAGTATTATTATTATTATATTATTATATTCTATTATATACTGCGGGTCACAATTCTCCGGCGGGGACCCGTGGGCCCACAATTCGGTCATGTCTAGGACCAAAGTCACCAGATCTGTGGGTGAAGTTTTGCCAACTTTCCACGGGCCAGGCTTGATTCCGACATGGTATTCTTTTGGGGCAATGTACTTTTTGCAATTCCCAAATTCAAAATAATTCAAAGGGTTACGGTTATAGATGGTTATAGGTTATTGTCTTTGATTTGAAGTAGAATGTCGGTGTATACATCTTGCTGGTTATACAAGTACTGATATGTACATTTCTACATTTATATCTGGTTGGTGGTTTCAACCCCTCCGAAAAATATTAGTCAGTTGGGATTATTATTCCCAATATATGGAAAAATGCAAAATGCTCTAAACCACCAACCAGATATCAATGACACGAATGACCTCCATTGCGGTTGGTTTTATGCCCCCATTCCGAGACCCCCAGAATGACACCGCACAGGAAACCCCACAACAGTCGCCTCGCGAATGGTGGCCATTCGCCGCGCGATGTTGGCAAAGACCTGGTAACTGATTCGTCACTAAAAGTGACAAGGGCAAGGTCATATGAGTCATATATTCTAGTTAGGAAGACACTTATATGCAGATTTAGAGGTACTTAATGGTACTTATAGAATGTTCTAGAATGTTGTAGATAGACTTAGATAGTTATAGGCTCTCTGCAAAGTTCAACCCAGTTTTTTGGAACAGTCTCCAGCTGGCCTGTTGTCATCCCATATCTTGGAGGTCTCATCACATCAAGATGTTGTTTTATCGTTTAATCCGCCTTCTTTGATTTTGCCAGGCCCCAGGCGAGACCGCTAGATGAATATCAACACATGAGTAGATGATATATTAATTACTATTATTGTTATTATTATTATTGTTATTATTTCATGTTATTATTATTAGATGTTATATTCATGAATATCAACAATAATGAATATCATGGTACTATTATTGTTATTATTATCATTACCCTCTGGTCAAGTAGTGACATTAGGATTCATGCTGATTATAGTTTAAAAAAATAGCTACCCTCTGGTAAACTAACATAGTTATGGAAAATCACTATTTCTAATGGGTAAATCCACGAACTAAATGAACATGTTAAATAGCAAACTCTTAGTTTACCAGAGGGTATTCTATATAATGGAGTTATATAATTACATTTATATATATATATATACACACCTGGTATTGACCCAAGTGGGTTGCCCCCAAACAATGATTGCAACTACTAAAATGGTACCCTAAATAAAAACCAAGCCAGGGGTCGACAAACATCCGGAACATTACCAGAGGCTGCATTTACACGAATGAACACCAAAATAAGACACATATATCTAGGAGAAAACCAATCCTAGTTGCCACGGTGCAGTGCTATTATTCATCAATTTGGGGTTCCATTCAATTAGTTTTGATGCGCATTTGTTAATCTTCAACACCAGGATATCCAAATTTCTATATCTACCTTGAACCTCGGCCCATAAAAATGGTGTAAATCGCGTTCTCATCCCATTCTTACAGGTTGAAATGTTGATCATGGACATTTCTTAGATTTGATATGACTTTTTCAGTATCATTGACATCGGAATAACCTACATTATTCATTGTTTTGATCATCTTGATCATTGATGCTTTGAGTGTACCATTTCTGGTACCATCATAGATTTAAGCATAGATTTTCGCAGTATCCATAGAGGATGGACCTGCCACCCAGCTGCTGGGTTGTACGAGAGCTGCATGAGTTCCTCCGGTGTTCCAAAAGCGTGGAAGGTTTTTTCAGCTGAGGCTGTTGGGGATCAGCTTTCTATATGGCTGTCCATAGTCATGATCCCCCAAAAATCGCTGGATAGTTTATTTCATGGAAAATCCATCTATAAAATTCTATAAATGGATGATTTGGGGGGTACCCCCATGACAAAACGGAAACCTCCTAACATAGCCGGGTGTTTCAGATGGTGTTCAATCTGTTGAAATGGGCGATACTCTGTGGAAACGGATAATCAGCAGCTGGAATGGCGATCTCAATGGGGTTTCAATGCTACAAACCATGATTCAATGGATTGGCTAAAGGAAAGGCAGTTCCAACAAAAAAAGTTTTGTGCTATTAAACATGGAAGTTTGCAAGGATCTGCATTTGAAAATTACCTTATTCCCGTATTCATTCACTTGGAGTTCATTAAAGCAGGGGTCTGCTGATGGTGATTGATAATGGCCAGGTTACTGTAGATTGAGAGCCTAGTCAATTACTGGTTACTGGTTGAGCTACCAACTTGAACAAATACGAAAGTCAACTTGCATCATCATCACAAGATGGAAGGACTATAGTATTGATTCCATCCTCCCAACAACGACAACACCCCCCATATAAGACCCCATAAATGAATAGATTCGCGACCAATCCCATCCCCATGAAAAACAGCCCCCAGGGTCACCATGGTTGAGTGGGGAAGTTCCACATTTTTTCGGGACCATAGAATGGGGATGAATGCGGGGGGGGAAAAGGGCGATGGTGATTCTTTGCCCATAACTCAGCAGGATTGAACAAAGAGCTACAGCATATTGTATCAAAGCATATGCTGTAAGGATACATATGCGCATATGTATATGGTATCTGATGCATTTATACATATGTATACATATGTTCATATATGCATGCGCATTTGCATGAATAACCCCAAATTTCATGCGTCTTCATCTTTTTCATCCCATTCTTGCTTGGTTTTGTTTGTCCTCCCACACTTCCATGACCAGCATTTTAGAGGCTGCTTCATCCGCCAGTGATATAATCTACCGAAACCCCAGCATCAAAACCCATTGCTGTACGTATGCAAAGTGCAATTTTCTGTAGTTTACCCTCTGGTAAACCAGAATAGCTATGGAAAATCACCATTGTTTTTCAATGTAAATCAACTATCAATGAGCCATGTTGAATAGCAAACTCTGAGTTTACCGGTATATCTCCCCATTTTTCATAGCTAAATCCTCATGCTCCAGCCATTTTTCGCATTTTTCGGCCAAGCGGCCAGTTTCCAGTGCCATTCCTTGGCTGAAGGGCTCAGGGGCTGGTTTTGCAGGACCTCAAGCGGCTCAAGTGCTGTGACCCCAAGGACCCCAGTGACCCCAGTGACCTGAACATCCTGAACCCAAATGGACAGTGAAAAGTGGCAAATTTGGGATTCTTGGTTATGTATATATATATATATATATAATTAATCATATACATATATATATATGTGTTGTGTTCACTCCCTGCACTCAACCCAGCAGCCAACTTTTACAGGCACAGTTGGCTGGCGATAAGATCAGAGACAGAAGCGAGCGCCGCCACTTCATGCAACATCTGCTTTCAGACTTCGTAGATGCAAAATAAGCATAGCCATAGATGCAGAAAAGAAGTGCATGCAACATCTGCTTTCAGACTTCGTAGATGCATAAAGCACAGCCGTAGATGCAGAAAAGAAGTGCATGCAACATCTGCTTTCAGACTTCGTAGATGCATAAAGCACAGCCGTAGATGCAGAAAAGAAGTGCATGCAACATCTGCTTTCAGACTTCGTAGATGCATAAAGCACAGCCGTAGATGCAGAAAAGAAAGTTCTGAACAGTGGTGCTATCCATCACGGGTGGCTTTTGCTGAGGGTCCGGGCTAAGAACTGCATCCATGACCAAACACATCAGAGCCTGTGTTTGTTCCTCCCTGCACTCAACCCGCAGCCAACTTTTACAGGCACAGTGGTGGCGATAAGATCAGAGACAGAAGCGAGCGCCCCATTCATGCAACATCTGCTTTCAGACTTCGTAGATGCATAAAGCACAGCCGTAGATGCAGAAAAGAAGTGCATGCAACATCTGCTTTCAGACTTCGTAGATGCATAAAGCACAGCCGTAGATGCAGAAAAGAAGTGCATGCAACATCTGCTTTCAGACTTCGTAGATGCATAAAGCACAGCCGTAGATGCAGAAAAGAAGTGCATGCAACATCTGCTTTTAGACTTCGTAGATGCAAAAAGCACAGCCATAGATGCAGAAAAGAAGTGCTGAACAGTGGTGCTCATCCATCTCTAAGAAAAGGCCAGCAGCGGTAAACATGTAGCTGCGCGCAGCACTCAACCCGCTCAATGCTTGTAGATGGACAAGGCAAAATGGAAAAAATCGGCAAAAGCACCGATAGAAACTTTCGCGGCAGGAGACAAGTCAAACATGGTAATCTGAGTGGATATTTCCTGAAGGTAATGTTGCAAAGTTTCCACATTCTTTAGCCTAAGAGCCCACAGAATATCCATGATAGGTGTTCCTTCTCGATATAAATTTACAGTTCCACCGGCCCTCAGTCCGCCGGGTGTCAATCCAGTACTTAAGGGCACTTCAAGGGAAGTCATCAATTTGTTCCACCGAGTGCGGAAAGCACCAGCTGATCCAGGATATACTGGTTGGTTGCCATGCATTCCTGAAAATACAGTCTCAAGAAACGAAACAATGGACTCTTGAGAAATCTTTGCGTGCTGTACGCGGCCCATCCCGCGTCGCCCAGGCTTGGGCTTGGAAATGCGTAGAAACATTGGACCTGAAGTCTGAGCAAGGTCCACAGGAAAAACAAGGTGTCGCCTTTTTGCTTGCAAAACTTCTCCAGGACGGCAGCAGCCAAAAAAGGCAATCATGATGACACAAGCCACTCGCGTCCAGTTCCAGAAAAGAGCCAAACTAATCATGGCCTGCACCATTCGAAGAGGCAGAGGTCGCCGGTGAACGACTGGCTCCAGCTCTTCCCATCTATTGATGAGATTCCATGCGGGCTGCAAATGCCCACGAAATCCAGGGTGCATTCGCTGTGCATATACTACCAAATGTCTGAAACGAAAAAGAGCCCCGCCAGATTCATAAACATGTCGACCATAATGACCCATAATAGAACCCATCAAAGAAGGAACCAACCAGCAACTTTGAAGCACTGACTGGCCCATAGATTCCTTGATCCACTCAGCAAAACTGTCCCAAGCAGCAGACCCTATCGCCACTGTTTCCGGCCTGACCATTTCAACTTGGTCGAGCCTCCGCGGATCACGGGTAGCAGGCTTCTGCTGTCTCGGTCCAGGATTTTTAGCCTCACCGATCCTTCTATGGTCACAGCGGCATGAAAAACTGGCGCCAGACTTCAAAACGTTCAAATCAGCACAAATCGCCCATGCAAGCATGAAACACAAACCTTTTGGGTAGGGCTCTGCAAGCTTCGTCATCGAAATCTTCTTCTGTCTACTTCTGCCACGTAGAATAACATGATTATGCTGCCTATTGCACAAACGCTTTGTACCCCTCAAGCGACACGAAGTCAAAAACCGTGTCCTTTTTCTCCAAGCAGTTCCAAAAGTACAAAAATCCACTCTGAAATATTTTCTGCTCATCCCCTTCGGCAACTCAAGCCATTCAGGCTGTCGCCACAAGTAGGAACCATCTGGATTCTCAACCCAATACGAAATTCGCAAACTGATGCATAGCCTAATCATGAGTGCTAGCCATTGGGAGTGACTGTTCCCATCGGCTATCTTCTTCACCATGCCAGGTCTGATGGGCTGTATGCCTCGAGGCTCCAGAGGACTCCGCACCGCCGGTGTTATGGCAGTGGAAAAGGAAGCACAAATGGGAGCTGCAGAAAAACACAAACAGGCTCCCACCTTCAAAAGCTTTTCAATACGGATGCGAGTCGCTCCATCCAGCAAATCGCACTGAGGACCATCCAAAATGTCTACCGTGAGAATCCATGTTGCCCCTAGCTTAGAACATGCTCTAGCAAATCCTTTCTTGCCAGAATACAGGTCAATGAAGCCAGGTTGAACAGGAGGGAAACGCTCATCTGAACCAAAAATGAATTGCTCCTTGCCAAAAAATAAAAAGATGTCATAAATTTCTTGAGACCAGGGATAGGGTTCATCTGAAGGTGAAACTTCGTTGCTGACTTCAGAAGCCTTTCGACTTCTCAACTTTTCTTTTACAGAAATCTTTTGCTTGCGATGCCTTGAGCTGCAAATGGATTTGTCAAGGAGATCAGGCTCTTTCAAATTGAGCTTTGCCAAACTGTCATAGCCAGCCAACTGTTCAGGAAGCAAATCGCAGCTGGACAAAAACTCGTCAATGCCAGAGAAATCTCCCAAATCAGCATCAATCCACCATTGGGGCAAATAACAAGAAGGAGAACGCAAAGACTTTCCACGGGTGGGGTCATCAGCAGGATTGTGAGCAGAACGAACATACCCAGGGGTACTGTAAATACCATTACCCAAAAGCTGAGGAAGACTGCGACGCAATTCTTCATTAAGACACTCCGAAGCACTACGCCCTTTGCACACCGCACCGATGACCACTTGGGAATCACCACCCACAGGAACGCGCTGATCACACGCCCTTAGACCAGCAACCGCCTCAGCCTTCAAATACGCCCTCATTTCACCCACGTTGATGTGACGTTGAGACTTTGCACGACGCTTCCAGACAAGACTGAAATCCAAACAACGAGCAGCAGACTCCCAAACAGGATGCTCTTCATAGGCAACTTCGCCTTCAGGAAGTTCGTCAGCCTCAGGAAGGATACCTTTTCCCCGAAGATGACCTTTGAACGGGGAGAGCAGCTTTGTCCAACAACCCTTCGAAACACCATGCCTATGGATCTCTTCATGCATAGAACCCTTAATACAAGCAGAAACAACGGCATCCCCCCAGTTGGAAGCATCAACCATGTAGAGCTCCTCAGAGAAAGACGCGCGCAAATCAGTGACAGCAAGAGGACAAAGCACTACGAGCGACCAGAGTTCATCGACCAGACCCATTGGGAGAGTAATGATATCCGATTGTTCCCTACCGACCTGTACTGCATAGATCCAACTAAGCAAGCTCATAAGCCGTCTTCTAAAGCAGAACAGGGCAACAAAACCGCCAGCAATGACTTCCAAGAGACCGACAGAGCACACCCCTAAAGAAGCAATTTGAGCCGTTACCCAGCAAAGAGATGCCGCCCTTCCAATGTTGCCGCGGACTAATCCAGAAACTCCATTGACATTTGCGCCCCAGAAATCTGCACAGTCAACATTGTCGAAACCTTTTGTAGGGTGTGCTTGAAGATCGACTCTTTTGTACATAGCATGCATATTACTACGCCTGCGCAGCAGTTGGTCCCCAACCTGAGCATCCCACGAAACCTTTTGCATGATGACGAAGTCGTCAATGATGATGCCTCCCATAAAAGATCCCCTAGGCGCCCTACCATGCATAGTTAACAAACTGTCCCCATCCAGAGCATTGCATTGCAATGCCATAGCAAGATGCGACGTCTGAGCATAAGCACACGCGGCAGAGTCCCCCATAGCAAGACTGTTGAGACAAGCATAGACAAACTCCTCACCAAGCAAATCTTGAGGGAAACCAGCAAAATCGCGAACAAGCTTTGTAGGAATAGCCCAGTCCAAGAAATTGCGAGAAGCACGTTGGGGTCCCACTTTGAACATGTAGAAGAAGTTGGAGAGGTCGTCACCCGAAAAAAGAAGTTTTTCGTGAGGCTTAAGATGAACACCCAAAAGAGCAGATGTCGACGCCATAGTCAAAATATAATGGTCTGGCGGCACTTGTAGGAGATTAGCTGGTCTGCCGTCTAAAATCAAACGGTCAACTTCCAAATTCTTGGACACGCAGAACAAGCCATTACCGAACCCTCTGAAAACATCACTGACTTTTCTAAACACGAGTCTTCCACTTCTGTTTAGCAGATGCAACAGCTTTACTTTCTCGGTTGTGGATGCATGAATCTGCACGCGAGGTGGATGCAAACGGTCACGTTCTTGATGTAAATCTTGATGAAAAGGTTCGACAAAAAGCTTGTGAGATTCTTCGTCAAGAAACGGGGTAGGATCAAAACATGGTCTGCCATCCACCTTAACTCGAGATGCAACAATAGGCTGCGCAGCAACAGAATCACCAAAATTCATCTTCCCTATCACTTGGCCTAAGTCATCCTTCTCATGACCTTGAGTTACACAAGAGCGCTGCAGACGATACTTTTTCAGGTCACCCACAGCCGCAGTGCACATCTTGGTGAGGCAGCCGAGAACTTGTTCTTGTTTCTCCTGCTTGGCTGCAGTTCGGCCCATATCAGCCGCATGAAGTTCATCAAGAAGACTCCATGCCTCAGAGAGGCGCCGTAGTCTGGCCACTACCTCCTTCTGCTTGGAACTAAGTGGCATAGGGCCACAAATGCCAGAAGGTGGGCTTCGACCTCCCAAGTGGAGGAAATTGAGATAAGAAACTTGCAGATTCAAAAGCCTGCGAAAGCCTCTTTCCCTATCACAAATGCCCTTTCCAGCAAAACGTCTGTACGGCAGAGGCATCGGCCAAACTTGGTCCTCTTCTCTCACAGCTTGGCTATTAGCTGCTAGCCACCTTGAACACTGTGCCTTGTAAAAACGACTGAAAGGAGTCGAAGAAGCAAAAAGATCTTGATGCCAATTGCTCCAAGATGCCCAAATTCTGATGGAGGACGCCCCAGCACCAGGGATATGCTTTGGAACCCTGGCTGAAGAGTCATCACCCAACTGCACCTCGGGCAAAATGCCCTCATCGCTCGAAAGCGGACATACGCTGCCGGGCTTGTCAACGGCACCATGCTGGGCGGAGCTCTGAGCGGATTCCGGCTTCCCCCGACCGAATAGAGCCAGAGGCTGTGAGGTAGAAGAGCCCGGCAAAGGGTCACCTTCATCCACTCGTGAGTCCGCAAGTGCATGGCCGGACGTGCCTTCGGGCAGCAAACTCATTCTGGAACTTCTTGGGGGGCAGCAACTTCGGACTGCTTCCCCTTTCCACCTTTGCCCTTCGCTTTGCCACCCGTTTTCGGTGGATGAGATGGGATAGCTGGAGCTGCTTTTGACTTCTGCCCCAACTTCTTGCGCATCTCCACGTAATTGTCCACCTCTTTCAGTCGATGGGCGAATGCATCCACCCAACGAGAGTCCATAAGTCTCGTGTGTGGCATTTCGGTGACATCGGGCAAGGCGTGAGCTTGGAAAGACGACAAGGGAGCTGGCGGCTCCAATGAGAATTCTTGAGCTAGAAGGAAGCTTCCATGATCCAAACTCTCCTGCTCCAGCTGTGCTAGTCCTAAGCAGCACCTTGCTCGGGCTTCGTCGACACATCCATTCCGGAGTGCATCGAGCACTCCACTGAGAGTCCATGTTGCCCTCACACTCCGAGCATAACCCATAATGCGTGACCGATGCTCGGCCCAGCCTCTCGCAGTGAAGGAGAGTCCCGGTACATTGGGTTGGGACACTCTGAGATCGAATTCGTCGGCCATGTTGGACTCGATGATCTCCCAGATTCGTTTTGGATTTTCTTTGAAGGTCTTTTTCAAGGCTGCAATCAAAGCGGCATGCTTCCTGGCTAAACCGCTTGGCTGCTCCACAGACCCAGATCCTGAGAGGCCTTCTAAGGCATCCTCCAAGGGGTCCAACTTGGCTTTCTTCGAAAGGTGGCCCACTATGGTCGTCAACTGAACCAATGCTCTGGCCATCGGATCCGCAGGCATGTCTTCTTGCTCTTGCTCGACTTCCATGACTGATCCATCGCCATCTGCAGCCTCCTCCTCGGCAGGGAAATCGCCCAGCTTGGCCGGTCGGCCGAGAGTTACTCGACTGATTGTTTCCAGCTGAGACCGAGGAACACCAGCTTGCAGGGCTGCAGCAACGGTCCCTGGATCGAGACCTGGAAAATCGTGAACTGCTCCCAGACCCGGAGGGGGGCCAACTGGAGGGCCTTTCACTTTGGCCTTCGCCTTGACTTTGCCTGCAGTTTTTGGAGGACTCTTGGATAAGCCGCCTGGAACTTCTTCTGCAGTGACATAGCCAGATCCTCCTCCTCCTCCGGCTCGGTGAAACTTTAACAACTCTTCTAGGCTTCCCCGAAGTTGACCAAACTGGTTCTCCAGAGCAGTCAAACGATCGGGAGGAACTTCTTCCTCGCCAGGGTGGCGAACTTGAAACTTGTCTTTCGCTGCTTCCACCAAGGCTTCCGCAAAAGGAAAGCATGGATCCCCTGAGTCCCTGTCTACAAACCCAGAGGTAGCCACTTCTTCACCAAAACTGATCGAAGGAACAAATGCCTCCGAAAGCCAGCCAATCCAGCTGTTTATAGTTTTGCCCTCAGCAGCCTGCAGACGGTCCTCTTCTGTGCTTCCACCAACGGCAACTTTGAGCACCTTGTTGATGGTGCCTGGCTTGAGCTTTCTTTTGTCAACTCTTTTGTCCCAAGCCGATGCAGGCAAAGCAACTAGAAAACCTTTCTGATCGTCAAAGGCAACTAGGGCAACCTCAAAAGTGTCCCCGCTTTCAATGTTTGGAGAAAAGCAGCCGAGGTTGAAAGCAAGTGAAATACCGTCGGCTCCTATGATGAGCTCCGCTTTGAGAAGGTCAAGCGGAGACTCAGCTTCAAATGACATTACAACTACTGCTGAGCAAGAGGCCAGGACAATCCGGCCTCTTGAACAGCAATCTTAGCTTCCCACTGCGATGCAAATCCAGCAAAGATTGAATCACCAAAATTGCTACCCACACCAGTCTCAGTGACCAACTCCCTGGCCTCAGAGAAACGGCTGAGCACACGAACAGGATTGAAAACCTGTCCGCGAATGGATCGCACCACCACGTAGAGCCGGTTCTGGAGTTTCACACGGCTTCTGCCGCTATCACCACCAGGAAGATTGGCCAAGCAGCGCACAAAGAAGCGCCCTGTCTGCTCAGCAGCAGAGGTCCTTTCACGATCCGAGGTCAGAGGAGCTGGAGCAGCTTTGGCGGCAACTCCAGCAGGCAAACCACGGACGGAGCCCCCGTCTACCAACTCAAAATCCTCAACACCAAGACCTTCCACCTGGGCCTGAAGCCTGTCCAGTCGGTCAGCCAAACCCACCAAGTCCTCACGGATGGCAACGAGCTCGGCTAGAATGCCAGCTCGGGTGCCACTCATCCAAGGACCCTGTAGAGCTTGCCGTTCAATCCAAAGGCAGCAATCCTGGCTTTCACTGCTAGAGTCAACCACTGTTTCACCAGGACTAGTACTTCCAGCAGAGGCCACAAAGCAAAACCCACCACAACTCCACACCAGAAGTTGATAGGCGGAGGCTCAGGGCAAACCGGGCAGCTGAAATCCAAAGGCAAGCTAGGTGGCGGAATTGGTCCCGGGGCCTGAGTGAACAAATCCCTTAGGAGAAAGAAAAGAGTGGACGAAATCGAACCGGTGGCTGCCGAAATTGCCACATGATGCCTGTCCATCCAAGCTTGATCCTAAGAAACTGCATCCATGACCAAAACACATCCAGAGCATATACTGGTTGGTGGTATACCTACCCCTCTGAAAAATGATGGAGTGAAAGTCAGTTGGGATGATGAAATTCCCAACTGAATGGAAAATAAAAAATGTGCCAAACCACCAACCAGTATATATAACGAAACAAAACTATACTATGTGAGATTCTTATAGTTATAGATATCATAACCCAGAAAAAATGTGGTTTGATCATGTTGAATGGGATTCTTTCATGGTGACACCTCAGAAAGTGAAACGTGGGAAACCTGGGATATGCAGTGAAGAGTGGGATATGATATCGATGTGAATAGTCAAGAATGAGCAAAGAATTGGCAAAAAATGGTGTAATATGTTATAATATGTTATAATACCATTTTGGGTGATTTATGGGATGTGTAACTAAGACACATGGTGGTTTCATGTTTTTTCATGGGAGTCTAATGGTGATGGGATTCTAATGGTGATTTAATGGTATTGCATGGAAAAATGCTAGTTTTATAATCAAACATGATGGTTTAATGGGATTCTACCGGGATTTTAATCTAGATCAAGTTCATTTATGGAGATTTATGGCGATTCAACTAAGAAAAACGGTTGTATAATGGGATACAATAGGGATGTAATGTAACGTGCATGGATAATCATCAGAAATGCTGGTTCATGTTGAATGGGATTCGGGGATTTTATCTGGGTTGTAATGGGGGTACAATGAGATATACCCCCAATGGTGTCATCAAACATGCCTGGGAATTCCCCGACCCAGTAAAAGTGTAAGGGGAACATCATCTAAAAATGGGAGGTGCCATTGCCATGCTTGATTACAGGAAGGTAAATATCATCAAACCAACATCCTGGAAACACGTTTTCGCATTCTTTTCGTAAGATAGCAATAGAATTCATAAATAGATGCCACTTCACTACCGAGAATCTCCATCAATTTGATGGGAGAATTGTTATCCAGGGATGTAGTGGGCAAATTCATCAATTTTTGAATTTATGCAATGAAAAAGTAAAATCTACTGAAAAAAAGAGCCAGCAAACCACCCAAGAAAAGGCAAAATACAATAAGATCATATACTGTAAGATCTATTTCTGAAATGTTGGTAACGTGTTTTTCCGTCTCTTTGGGGGTTGCTATCTAGCTGGGGTAGAAAACCATCCATCTTTGGAGATGAAATGGGATAGAATTGGATATAATGGTAGATATATTGGTGGGAGAAGATGGGAACATATATTAATGTTGATTTCATTCCAAATTCAGCCCCAGTTTACTGATAGGGGGGTCCAAGGTCGAAAGGGATGCATCACGGTATCACATGGTATCACTACTTTGAGGGACACCAACCAAATTTATCAACGGAGTTGTCTAATCCGGGGTTGGCACTAGAAACGTATAGGGAAAATGCTGGTAAAACAGCCTTTCATCGTTTATCTGAATATAATGTGCTCAAATATACTGGGATAAAATGTGCGCGATTTAATCAACAAAAAATGATGGTATTCAGGTTATTCGGTTGAATCAGTTTGGGAATCAAACAACGAAATTGGGGGAATCAAACCGACCACGACGTGTGATACAATGGGATCTATAACCAACACAATGTGATATGGGCCTCTCCAAAAAACGACAAATTATATAAATAGTGCAAAATTGGTCCTGAATAATTGATGCCCCAACCAAACAACCAGCCACAATGAAAAACAACCATACAAATCAAGGCAAAGGTAGCGAACGATGGATTTGTAATTTATTTAACATTAGTATTTGGCCCACATGTCTTCAGATTGTAAGAAAATATATGTTCCATACACATCTTTGAAGTTTGAGCATTTACTTTTAATCATTCCCTTTCGTTCCCTGTTCTTCGAATTGTCCTATGTACAATGGGTTGTGACCACCGTTGGTGTGTATGTAGCCAGTTGTCCAACGGATCCGGATCCCGATTCCTTGAAACCACCACCAATGTGAAGCATGTAACATCCCCATAAATGGATATAAATGGTACATTTATCACCATCACAAAGCATACATTTATCACCTAGAAACCATCACCATATACATGGGTGGTAAAAGCCATCCCAAAATGGTAGATTTCTGGCGGTAAACACCACATGGCACCCAGCTGGCCTTCATGTAGACATCCTTGGCTGAAGCTTGGTACAGTCAGCCCCAAACAACAAGAGCTATATGTATATATATATGTGAATATAATAACATATATATATGTGAATATTAAAATGTAAATTAACAATATATAGATATATATGTAGATGAATTATATATATATTATAATGCATACATATGCGTGGTCCCACCTCCTGAAACTAATACTCCTGGTGCTGTTGAAACATGTCGTCATTTTCGCCAGAACCTCGCCGGTTCTAAAAGGGACACCATCTGGGGATGACGAAGCCCGCAGTCTAGCCAGATACATGTTCAATGATAATCCAACATATTTCATGGTGATATCCCCATTATGGGGTTGTGCAGGTTGTAGATTATAGGTTAACCATTAACCAAAATTAACGCACGCACACACACACACGTATATATATATATAATCTTAGTTAGTAATCATCATTGGAAATATTGATTAATTACATATGACCATATATTATCATATATCATCCATATATTACCTATCCATCCTATTCTTTGTTACATTCCCATCCTATCAGCAGCTTTCCGCTTCGCCCGCCGTTGCCGTTCCCAGCTTCGGTGTTCACCACGCGGTCAATGATGGCGGCAGTCTCCCGATCACCACAGGCGATGACAACGGCCTGGTGGGGTTTGCCACGGCACTGGTGTGGTACATGGGATTTTCATAGGACTTATGATGCTGGTTGGTGGTACTTAATGATTCTCTTGTTTCCATAGGTACATGGTTAATGGTGGTTAATGACCATTAATGGTGGTTAATAATGGTTAATTGTTATCTGGTTGGTGGTTTCAACCCCTCTGAAGAATATGAAAGTCAATGGGAAGGATTATCCCATATATCATGGAAAATAAACAATGTTTGAAACCACCAACCAGGATGGGATTAAGTCTATTAGGGATGGAATATAGATGGTGTTTTTTGGAAAACTCTGGTGATAATAGGGATTAATAGGGATGGATATGAAACCTAAATGTAAGGTTTCTGGGGGTAGTTTTGATATCTCACACTACAAAATACTTAACAATATATTGTTACACCCCGAAATGGAGGATTTCACCAAGAAAACTCTGGAGGATGTGTATATAATGGGGATGATGAATGTAATCTGGGAATCTTCTTGGGAGTTACTCAGATGGAAAGTAGTCCGCTGGAAATTCCGGTGGATGTTCCATTGATGTGTTGATGAAACAACACGGTACGATATGATAGGGATTGGTGCAAACCGAATCATATCCTGAGGATGGTATTTAGAAGCCAATGCTATGTCATGATGGTGAGGTTGTGTTTGGAACCCCGGATCATACTTCCACAACGGCTTGGAAACAATATTGATAAGGAAAAAATATGGCAACATGTGGCATAATGGAAGTCTTTACCATCTAACCAACAAAAATGATCAAAAATGCGAGTGTCCAAAAATGAGAGGTCGGGATCAGCAAAAAAAAAAGGCAGATCATGTTAAAGTTGGAAAATAAGGCTTGCACTGTGATGGGATGGTAAGGGGTACCCTGCTCTGAGGAAAACACAAGGGGCTTATAAGTAGGCTTTATGCTGAATATATCTAAATATATCTTTAGTGGAATAGGTGAAACTAAACAAACTTAAGTTGGGATATAGGCACCTGAGATCATCCTGAGAACCCGTATTTTCCCGCCCTCCATTTTAAGTAGTGTCAACCCCGGATTCTTATTCGTCCTGCTTGAAGAGTTCAGGGTCCCCGGAAAAAAGTGATGTCACTTGCTACTAAGACGCTACAAAGTGGTGCCCTTTAGTTCAAAGATGCTTCATTGCCCATCTCACTATAGTTGTAATACCCATTGAACCCGATTTAACCTATGTTAACTATTGTTAACCTAGCTGGGGATTTCCTAAGTCATGGGGCTACCCCTGTTCATCATCCATTTTATCGGGTTTTCCATGACATAAACCATCCAGCTATTCGGGCATCCCCATGTAAACCCCATTATCATCAATTATGAACCACTATTCACCATTAGTAACCATCATCAAGTATATATGAGCCATATATTAGCCATATTTTTACCTTTAGTACCATATTGACCATCATTGACTGTATGCTACCACATATTAACCATCATTGACTATATTATATGTTACCATGTATTAAACATCATTAATTATATATTAACCATATATTAACCATCATTAAGTACGGTTGATCGTCTATTAGCCATCTGGAACTATATATTAACCATTTATTAAGCATCATTCACTATATATAAACCATTTATTAACCAATATTAACAATCATTAACTATATATTAACTATTTTTTAGCAATCATTAACTATATAATAAAATTTAAAAACAATCATTGACTATATATTATCCATTTATTAACCAGCATTAACTATATATTCACCATATATAAACCATATATATAAACCATGATTAACTATATATTCACCATATATTAACCATCATTAACTATATATTAACCACATGTTAACCATCATTAACTAGATATTAACCATTTAGAATTTATTAACCATCATTAACTATATATTAACCATTTAAAAGTTATTAACCATCATTAACTACATATTAACCATTTAAAATTTATTAACCATCATTAACTACATATTAACTATTTAAAATTTATTAACCATCATTAACTACATATTAACCATTTAAATTTTATTAACCATCATTAACTACATATTAACCATTTAAAATTTATTAACCATCATTAACTACATATTAACCATTTAAAATTTATTAACCATCATTAACTACATATTAACCATTTAAAATTTATTAACCATCATTAACTATATATTCACAATATATTAACCATATATTAACCATCACTAACTATATTTTGAGGAAACCCCCATGACTATGGAAACCCCCACTCTCCGAGCTCCTGGAAATAGCCAGACCACATGGTCCTCCAGGTCTTCAAGGCCTGATGGAAAGTCCAAAGCCTTCGAAGTGAATATGCAGATTGCAATACTGAATGGTCCATATGTACATATATATATATATATATATCGTATATATATATATCTCTCTCTCTCCACTTACGTACTTATTTATTATTGTTTTAACGATTTAAATATTTATTTATATATTTACATATGTATATATACCATATTTAAATACATATCATCAAATATTATCAGTAGCAACCACCAAATAAATAGAGAAAATCATTTACGTTTCTATCATTTTGATCTACCAACGATGCCAAAAGAAAGGCAGGTCCGGTGACCAAAAATTGGAACCTGATCAGCCATGGGCAGCTACTGGGAAGTGGAAAAATGGTTGCGACGCATAGCCATTTACGGTACCATTCCATGAGTGCCAATTTATTTTGGTAGCAATGTGAACAGGCGTCTGTTTCTATCTATCATTTTATTGTCCAGTTTTGTTTGCATATATACAAATATATATATATATACATTGTTATTTGCATAAGTATCAATCTACGTTTGAAAAAACACCTCTTAAAAATAATCGCATACACTGCATACATACGAAAAAGAAAACTTTTATAATTGTAATATATCTCTCTTTAATAAACTATTTTTTGAAATGGATTTTGATTTTGTTCTGTTCTGCGTTCCTCTTTGGGGAAATTATTCCTAATCTGATAAGTAAATGCCAGTGCCCCATACATAACCCACATTATACAATTGAACATTAAAAAAACACCTATACACATTAATATACCAAATTACCAAATGCCCACATATTATGACCCATATAAACATATGTCCAATGTATGCCCCCATATATATATCAATAAGGAAGTATTCTCCGTTATTCATTTTCCAGATATGGGCGTGACTGAACATGGGCTATACCCTCTAAACGCTGCCAAATTCAAAGCGAACAGGATGATTAACCAATGGATGTTTGGGTAGCCAATTTTTCAGACACACTCAAGTAAGTCCCTACTGTTGTTGTTTAAATCATCATTTTTGCTGCCCTGTCGGTCTACGTCCTCACTAGACTAAGCCTTTACTAATGGCCTGGTCTGGTGAAGTCTTTGGCGATGTTTTTTTTCCAGACTCAAGCAGGGTCCCACCCAAAAGATATCCCCACGTTTTGAAAATTGAGGGCACGCCTTCAAAATGCGGGAAAATAATGACACCGTGATAAAACCATGAAAATACCATGGAAAAAACATGTGAAAACATCGTGAAAAGGCCGTGAAAAACCCTCGAGATAAATGCAGGAAAATCACGCATGTTACGCGACAAAAATTCTTATGAGTGCCTCCGCATGCTGGCCTTATGGTGGGGAAATTGGGAATCTATTCGGTATGTGTTTTTTTCAATCATGTAAGTCCTTTATTCCAACGGACTGTACTTGTCCTTTGGAGTGACTGGGCTGGTTTGATCTCCATTTTTGAATCCCCAATTTTCAGACACACTCAAGAAAATCACTTGTTTTGCTGTTCCTATCCCTATTTTTGCTGGTTAAGTCCCCCTTTTTTTGCTGCTGAAACCATGGGTTGCAGCGCCCACCCGCGCCTGGGCAATGCCGCCCCTGGGCTGCCGATGTTCGGGATCCGCCAGGCCGCAAGCGCTCAACACCAGCACCGGCGGCGGTGCCGGATCCGCGGCGAAACAGCCCGCGGGGCCCTGCGCCAAAAAAAAGGGACCGTCACCGTGCAGATGCGGGAAATCCTATGGGAAATTGAAACCGTACTGGATGGATGGATATATATATATATACACATACACCAACAAAGTTTAGCATGATATAGCATGATGGTGGCATAAATGAATGCCAACATAATAAACAACTAATCTGAAATATATATACTTACCATTGTACTGTACATGTGTACATACACAAGAAAGAACAAAAATTACATGGGTCTGATCAAGAGTTGGGGATTTATATCCTGATGATCGCCATTTCACGGGAAACGCGCTGATGACACACTTTTTTGTGGCAAACTCAATGCCAAAAACGTTTAAACATGTCCAAGTTTGCTGGTTTATACCACCATATACCACCCATGTCTGGCAACATTGGGGATTGTTTGTTGTTGAATTCGCCACCTTATATAGTCAAACAGGCTCATCACCATCATCATCATCATCATCACCATCACCAGCATCATCATCAACATCAACACCAACATCATCAATGGAATATTTATACAACATCATACAATATAATTCGCACTATATAACATGACGAGTTCAACCCATCCTCATACATATGTTTTTCCCCACCTGCTATGAGATCCATGAGGGTCTCGAGATTTCATTAATTAGGAGTTACTTCCTCCTTCCTCCTCCTTCCTTCTTTCCTCCCAACAGCGAACTCCAGATCTCAGTGGGCACTGCTGGACCTCAGCTGCGGACTCCAGATCTCAGTGGGCACTGCTGGACCTCAGCTGCGAACTCCAGATCTCAGTGGGCACTGCTGGACCTCAGCTGCGAACTCCAGATCTCAGTGGGCACTGCTGGACCTCAGCTGCGAACTCCAGATCTCAGTGGGCACTGCTGGACCTCAGCTGCGAACTCCAGATCTCAGTGGGCACTGCTGGACCTCAGCTGCGAACTCCAGATCTCAGTGGGCACTGCTGGACCTCAGCTGCGAGCTCCAGATCTAAACCGTGAGCTCCAGATCAGGTCCACTGAGATCTGGCGCTCGGTTAGAGTTCGGCAGTGCCCATGTCAGAGAGAATGTCAGAATAGATGCCAGATAGCATGCCGGAATAGATGCCAGAAAGAATGTCAAACAGAATGCCGGATAGAATGCCAAATACAAGGTGGTGCCCCATAGTTAGCTAAGTTGGTTTATACCTCCCATAACTATGGTTTATGGTAGATATAACTATAGTTAATGGGGTTTATAAACCAACTTATAACTGGCACCATCCTGTAGGATGTCAGAATACATGCCAAATAGAATGCCACAATTTCTATTGACAATAGAATGTGAGAAAATATATGCCATGTACATATTTTGTCAAGCGAAATGCAGTCCAAGCAGCGGCTGTATGAACTACGCGTCAGCAGTGTTCGAGTGAACTATCAAATTCCCCGGAAAAACAATTTGATCCCATTCGTCGCGGTCCATTGCTATTGGGGAGAGCGTGTTCCAGATCGCCGTGGTATCATACCAGTCTGCAAGGGAAGGTCCAAAATATATGTGAACCATGGACTGAGTGCCTGTGGCATACATTGGTGCCTGTGGCATACATTGGTGCCTGTGGCATACATTGGATGGGAAATTTCTTGGGTGGTGGGATGCTGATTTCTTCTAAGTTGTTCAGAACGGTGAAAAGCTTCTGAGACAGCAATTTCAGGCCAATGCGCCTGAGGTCTACCAAGACGAAATGGAGAAGAGAGGCGGCGGAGGGCGTGGGAGGTATGGAAGATAATCCTATGCTCTAAGGCTTCAAAATGCCGAAGAATATGACCGAGGTAACGCAATCGCTGGACAGAAATACGCTGACTGGGTATCAGGAGACGGGGGGCATGACGGTAGGCAAGGGAGAGCAAGCATTGGAACAGTCCTCCTGAGAGGGGTGAAGGACCCGATGGTAATAAGAGCTTTTAACTTGAAAGATTTGTCGCAGAACCTTATAGTGAAGAGAATTGAACCTTGTGATCTGCGCAGGGGTGAAAACTTGAGATTCACAGCCATAAAGTAAAATGGCAAGCACAATTTGCGCATACACCTGCAATTTACGGCGCGAAGGGAGGGACGGATTAGTGAAGACGGGAAAGAGGCAGCGAAACGCGCCCATCGCTTGAGAGTAGCGATAATTGCAGCCCGGTGCAGAAGATGCATTTGCAGCTACGTGGGCCCCAAGATATTTGGCTGAGTGCAGGGGTGGGATTTGAACACCGAGATCATCTGTTCCCATGCAATGTAGGCAGGAGCAAGGGGGAAGTGGGGTGACATGAGGTGAGAGATGAATGGAGAGATTGGAATGGAGGCGCAGAAGTTGGCATTTACCGGGGTTGAGAAGCAAGCCGCGCTTGCTAGCTTCATGCTGGAGACTGTGAAGGAGGCGGTGTAATGTAACCTGGTGCGGGGAACAAGAACTGTGTCGTCAGCATACTCAACATCAGTCATGGGAGAACGAGAAGAGAAGGTCCACGGGGTGAAGTGGAACCGGGTTTCGAAGGAGAATTGGACATCATGCATTAAAACCGTCAGAACTATGACAAACAGATATGGGCTGAGAGGGCATCCCTGGCGGATCCCACGTGAAAGGGAGTACGTGGCGGAGACATAAGAAGAGGAGGAAACAAAAAATTTGCTGTCAACATAGAGTGCTGCTATAGCATGCACAAAAGGGAGAGGCACTCCAATACGGACAAGGGAAGCAGCCAAGTGCTCGTGGCTAACACTGTCAAAAGCCTGAGACCAGTCCAGGAAGAGAATATACAATTATGTGGTATGACGCTCAAACAAAAATGTACATATATGTGGTATGAGAATATCCATGTACATATATATATAATATATAGCTATATATATATGCGTTTTTTTCCAAATAAAATGTCAGAAACATTCAGAAATTATAACAAAATATGTTGTCACGGTGGGGATCACTCGGAGTAAAGTAATTTATATAATCATCCGGATTTACCAATCAAGATGGGCCACTTGACTGATTAAATGCATATGTATCATGCACTTATCGGATAATCGATTGGGGGCACACCCCTGTTTATCAATTTGCTTTGAGAAAAAGTACCATCAAAGGGACTTCTTTCTAAATCATCACAAGTAGGGGATGAAAAAAACGTGAACCACAACCCATCTATTGGGAACGGTTCCTTCTTTTCGACCCACGTTAGTGACCTGAGCCCATCTGCCAGTAAATGTGGACTACCCACATGGACAAAGCTGCCGAAAGTTTGAACGCAAAAAAAAAAACTATATAGATATGCATGCATCTAACTCAATCTAGATTATATACATAAATCATATATATATAATCTATATGTATAGATATATCATCTATATTGTTTAGTTTAAATATTATATATCTATAAATTCCCTTTATAATCCATAAATTATATGTGTATATAGATATAATTTATATATTATCTATACATGATCCATATGTTATCCATATATATATATAATATCTATACATTATCTATATTTGCTTCTTTTTCATGCATCCCCAGTTGAAATTGCTTATGGTTTGCTTTTCAACCCCCCACGTGTTGCACTTGACCAAGCTGCAAAGTCTTCCAAAGCTTGGTAGGTCATGAGGTTCAAGCGATGGGAGAAAGCCAAGAAATCATCTTGGTTCAAAAAGAGCTCCTCAGTTGGATTCAAAATGGACAAATATGAGTGAATCATGGAAAAATATGGTGTATCTATATAATACGTTGTTATAACATTGTTTTCATGGGGTATCATCTTGGTTTAGCTCTTTGTGTGCGGATTCAAACTTGCGTGTTTTGGGCGCAGTAAAGAGCTATTGGGAAGAGTCCGATTTGTTGGCGCACCTTCAGATACATTGCCTTCCCCTGCATAAAGTGGGCGGTTAGGCGCATCTATCAACACACTCACACACACACAAACAAGCGCGCACACCTGTTGTTGGTGGCTTCGACCAAACGTAACAGTCCAACCCAATGATAATACGCACACACACACACATGTGCGTGTATGTGCATGTATTGTTTGTATGCATATAAATTTATACAAACATATGTGGTACTGTATTGTGGAGAGTGAGGGAGAGGGGACAAAAATGAATTAACATCAAGATGAGCATAAAGAAAAAAAATACGATGATGATGATGATGCTGATGATGCTGATGCTGAAGATGAAGAAGATGATGATGATGATGGTGATAATCATGACGAACAAAAATCAAAGAAATATAGATAGATAGGCAGGTAGATAGGCAGGTAGGTAGATAAATGGATAGATAGATAGATAGATAGATAGTTAGATAGATAGATAGATAGAAAGATAAGGGTAGATAAGGGTAGATAAGGATAGACAAGGGTAGATAAGGATAGATAGAAAAGGATAGATAGAAAAGGATAGACAGAAAAGGATGGATAGAAAAGGGTAGATAGAAAAGGATAGATAGAAAAGGATAGATTGAAAAGGATAGATAGAAAAGGATAGAGAAGGATAGAAAAGGATAGAAAAGGATAGGATAGGATAGAATAGAATAGATTAGATAGATAGATAGATAGACAAACAAATAGATAGAGAGACAAATAAATATAGAAATAGATGCATACATAGAAACATAGATAGATAACTAGTTAGACGTTGTCCGGTTGGGTTTACACCATCCCAAGCACTGCAGAGAGTTTAGAAACTCCACGCCGCTTGGGTTGTCAAGTTGCTCCCTTCTGCAGCCATGGGCCTAAGTTGCCGCCATGGGAAGGTCCTAAAACATGTGGGACTTGTCCAAAAAACTCAAACAATTAACTGGTTTGAACGGTGTATAAAAACATAACATGGTTCACCATCATCTACATTTGATATGTTTGATGATACGCTGATCAAAATAGTTGAAATAAAATGCTTCATCATCATTGATCAAAGAGTCTTCATTTTACCATCATGCTACCTCAACAAAACTGCAAATGGGGTCCATCACCTTATAATTTGGACGAATCCAAATGTGATTCTTCCAGATCCCAGATTTCATTTCAAAGGAGGGTTTTTAGCCAGCAATGCTACATTACCAGAAGCTACCTGATTTTTTCCACAACACACCAGTTGCATTTCATTTTATGTTGTGTTTTCAGGTGGGCGAGGAAATAATGGTGAAACGACACGAAATTGCGAAATGACCGGCCAAAAATGCCACATGGCACCCCATCGCACTCCCCAAAAAACTAGAATCCTACCAGAATGGTGATGTTTTTTTTGGCGTACATATAACCCCATGTTCACCTGTGATGTTTCGGCAGGCCACGTCGAATCACCCGCCCTTTTTTCGACCCAAGGGACGTTTCACCGCACGACCCGTCACCAAGACTTTCATGGGCACCTGGTCCTGGCAAAGCCAACAAAAACCGTTGATTTCCCACAGAAAAATATATATGGGTGGCTGTTCTCCAGCTGACTCGAAGTGCAGACCTTCAAACGGTCAGCGACTCACTTGCGCACACAAAACTGACTCAGTTGTACACACAGATTTTTTGAGCAGATGTACGCACAAAATTGACTCACTTGTGCACACAAGCTTGAGGGGTGGGGTGGGGCTAGGGAAGAAAAGGGTAGGATCTATCAGCCAGACCCGCTGCCTAACTTCATTGTAGGGACACAACCGCTACTCGACTTCCTTCGGCTTACCATCACATACCACCACACTTCAACCTTGGGGGGCGAGGTGGTGCTAGGGAAAAAAAGGGTAGGATCTATCAGCCAGACCCATTGCTTAACTTCATTATAGGGACACAACCGCTACTCGACTTCCTTCAATTTACCGTAATGGCTTACCATCACACTTCAACCTTCGGGGGTGGGGCGCGGCTAGGGAAGATAAGGGTAGGATCTACCATCATAAGCATCATCATCATCATCATCATCATCATCCTCATCCTCATCCTCATCCGCGTGCACAACTGAGTTGTTTTCGCGTGCGCAACCGAGTCGGTTTTCGCGTGCACAACCGAGGCACTTTCCCTTCAAACGAGCACTTCACCAAAAGGCCTATGGATGGTAAACCAGCAGTAAACCCATTAAAAAAAAAATGTGGAGAGAGAGAGAGAGAGAGAACATTATACGTTCTTACATTTTCCGGGCCACATATTTTGGAAGGCTCATCATCTCTCTCAGCGCATATTTCTCCTGATAACAATTTTGGGATGGTGAAAAGTGGTTGCCCTCTGGTCGCCCTCTGGTTGCTGAACATGTTGATTTGTACCACTGCCAGTCTGCATTCCCAAACGGACAGTTTGAAAACGAAATTCACTTCTGATGGACAATGATGTTCAGGGAACATTTTTTGTTGAAACTTCCATTCCTCCACCAAAAACACAGGAAAATGGAACGCCAAGACTGCCATGTTTCCCCAAAAGACATCATCTTCCAAAGCCAAGCATGTATGCATATATATATATGTGTGTGTGTATAAATGTATGTATGTATGTATGTATCTATGTATGTATGTATGTATGTATGCATGCATGTATGTATGTATGTATGTATCTATGTATGTATGTATGTATGTATGCATGTATGTATGTATGTATATGTATATTTGTATATATGTATATATGCATATATGTATATATGGCATATATGTATGCAATATGTGTATATATATATATACATATGTGTATATGTATATATAATATACGTGTGTGACATATATCGTGTTTGATTCATATGTGGAGATATGCATTTACAAATATGTATATATAGTATATACATATATTATGTCACGTTAGATTTGACTTATCCCTATATATGTGCGTGATATGTGTATGTATATTGTTGCATCTGTGTACTTTCCTTCTGTCTTGCTGTGGCCCGTTGGGGCCCAGTATTGGCCGCCCCGCCTCTTGTGGGAGGAATGGAAATCCGCCTTCTGCAGGCCCCCGGAACAGCATTACGTCATCCTTGCGCTGGTTACGTTTGCGATCACATGGGATAACGTCAATAGCGACTTTCTAGCCATGGGCATTCACCAGTTATGCATATTACATATTATATACGTAGATCATTGAACAGCAATGTTAATAAATATATAAATAATATGTGTGTAATATATGTATGAATACAATGCTCCCTCGGTAAACTAACATAACATAACTATGGAAAATCACCATGCTATTAATGGGAAAACTCACTATTTCTATGGGCCATTTTCCATAGCAAACTGTTAGTTTACCAGAGGGTATTTACACTACAATCTTTGATGCGTGGTACTGGCTTCAGAAGGTCAAACTTCGACTTTTTCATCTTATTCGAGGGAGACCGAGATGCTACCGCATCTCCCGCCTATTGCATAAGCTATCTCCAATTCCAATGGATTCTCATCATTTTCCCGAGCAAAATGGCTATTTGATGCTATTTGGGTATACCCTTCTTTCAAACACGCCCATATCCATGTGTGTGTGTGCTAAGGTAATCATCCTTTGCCAAATCAACCCGGTGAGTTGTCCGTATCATTCGACCTGGGCTGGAGAAATTTCATATGTTCCGACTTGGCTACTCATAGTCGCAAGATGTCGACTATGCGACGTCTTAAGAGGGGCTTACCTGCTGTGATGCCCAATGAACATAGTGTCACATAATGCCAGCCATGTTCATATTCAGAAGAATTATATATCAATCTCAAAAAACAAGGCCCGTTGAGGCAGGAGACGCACATCGCATTGAACTGTGTGAATCGAATCAATGGTCCCTGTCAGTCCAGCGTCTATCATTGTTGCATATGGAGGTTTCCTAAAATGGGGGTGCCCCAAAACCATGGGTGTCAGTACTAAAATATACTAAAATGAGTCTAATGACTTGGATGATTTGGGTTATCCCTATTTTAGGAAAGCTCCATTGCTGGAGGGTGTAGCCACCCTTTCAAAATGCCATGCGACTTGACTGTCCAACTTGGCCACTGTGTCAGCAGCAACTTCCCACAGGCCCTTCTCTCTCCATGTCATTGTCTCCCAATAATTTCAACAAGATGTGAAGTAAAATTCATATGGAGGTCCAAAACTTTGCTTGTTTTTCCTAAAGTAGGGTAATCCCCCAAAAAAATGAAGTAGAACATAGAATGATTCATCTAAAACATCATCAGTTTGGGGCCCAGTTTGGGGTGACTATGATGATCCGCGACATCGACATTCAGAACGGTTTTCTCACATCGCAATTCCCCGGCAAAACGCCCCCAGAAATGGATGCACAAAAAAAAACAACTTAAAATACTGTAGAGGGCCTCCACAAACTCCCCATTTTTCTGGGTGAAATCCCCGACATTTTGGAGCCCAATTAGTACCGTTTCTGTCCCGGCCCCGGTCACAGGATGTTCCAAGCGTCTGCCACGACCACAGCGGGGTCGTGGGAGGAACAGAGCCGCTCTTGTGGCGACTGCCGCGTCTGGCGGCCGAGATGTGGGACCAGGGCGAAACCGATGAAGATATAGGTACTTCGCAGTGAATAAGGAGGACCAAGTAGGATGATGAAAATGAAGATGAGCATATATTAACCATCATTAACCATATATTAAACCTATATTAACCATCATTAACCATATATTAAACCTATATTAACCATCATTAACCATATATTAAACCTATATTAACCATCATTAACCATATATTAAACCTATATTAACCATCATTAACCATATATTAAACCTATATTAACCATCATTAACCATATATTAAACCTATATTAACCATCATTAACCATATATTAAACCTATATTAACCATCATTAACCATATATTAAACCTATATTAACCATCATTAACCATATATTAAACCTATATTAACCATCATTAACCATATATTATCCAACCATATATTAACCAAGGATCAGAGGATCAGAATGTGCGAAACAAATGTCGTCAAGTTGCAGTCGTCTGAAGGCCGGATTTTCGGGCTTTGCTTGGTGGTATCGACATGCCACTTCTTCAGACTTTCAATTTTCAGACATCCTTCCTTCTTCCAAGCATTTTCCCAATAGCGTGCATATGTGTACATGGTTCCTCCCAACACCCCAAATAGAGATAACACAAGGAGGACAATTGCCAACTTATGACCAAGTTCCCCATAGTTCTCCATAGTTCATAGCCTTATACTGCTGGAATACTAACTATACCATGGAAATAGCAATTTTTGATCAGGATGTAGATGACCAAGTTCCCCTGCCCCTGGCCCAGGTGCCCTTCAAGTGCCCTTGGCCTTGGCACAAAGGTGCGTGGCTGCATGGCTAGAAAAGACCTCGGTGGTGAAGTGCTGTGCAAATGACACTTGTTGATCTTTCATCCCTGGTAATTTTGACCGTTTGCCATGGCAAATTGCCCAGTTATTTAGAAGATTTATATAGCATATCAAACATGATGATTTCTATGGGTATGTCAAACTACCAGATGGCCAATGTTCTTCTAGTGACATGGCCCAGAGACAAACATGAAGTTACTATGCTTTAGAGATCATTTACTGTATCAAGGATGATTTTTTGCCAGGAGACTTTTTCTTTTCCGATTCCTCAATCAAAAAAAAATGTCAAGGATGCTCAAAGTCAACCCATTCACTGCTCACCACTTGCGAAATACTAGTGTCTGGGTTGAGTCAAAATACTCAAATTCCAATTATTTGTTCCCCTTATTCACGACCAATCTTGATTCCCCTGCAAATTAATTTGCTGATAGGTACATATCCTCATTGCAATTGAAGTAGTAAACTATCCATCACCAGCTGGTTTGCCACCATCTTTGATGGTTAACCAAATGATTTTTTGTTACCCCAAACATCCATGGTTGATTGTTAAATCCCGTCCGATCCAGTTGGTTGTTCATTATGCTGATATTTATATTCATTCCCATATCTATATATATACATTCCCATCATGTCCCCATATTTGTTGGTTCTAACCATTGCTGTACCCAAAATAGACCATCCCCCTAATTATGTTCTAATATTCAACACCCATGGCATGGTTCCAAACATATGTGTTTTATCCCCTGTTAAACCGCGCTTTCTTGGGGTGTTTAATATTGTTAGGGTGGTGGGATGATAGATCTATACCATGACCAATAGCACTTTAAATCCCATGAAATTCCTCTCGCCAATTCCCATAATCAGATTTATTCCATTCAACCCCATAAAATTAGATGATTAAGACCAGTGATATTAGGGAATTGGCATTTGTTATATAAATCCCATGGAGTTTGTAGGGGGATGGGATTATAGACCATGGAATTGTATGATTGGACCATTTCTACTATTGATCTCTATATAATATATATATATGGATTATACATGATTATACCATATAAGATCGTACTATAAATGGCATATATGGGATATATGTGGTGGTGATCTAGATAAGTATGTATATATATATACGTATTTATTTATTTATCTATGTATATCTACATATATAAAGAAAAATAAATACATGTGGTTGAAAAAATAGGTGATTGTAATATATTTAAAAAAAATAGATAGATAAATAAATAAAGTCAATCTGTGTATATTAACATATGAATATATATATATGTGAATATTAATATAATTAATTATATATGTATGTATAAATATTATACCGTCCCTCTCTTCCTTTCAACTGGCTCAAAAGCAAACTCCCTCACGCTCGATGCATCCTGGCCGCAAAGTTGGTACAAACAAACATCTCGTGCTGCGCCACTCCACGCGCCTGGCTAAGCGCAAAGTGGGAAGGCCTGAGATTTCCCAAAAATCGACAGGAAAATGATGGAATATGATGGTTTAATAAGTTGCCAATCTATAATAGGATAAAAACCAGACATTTCATGAGGTGATCAGAATCAATATGGAGTTTTGTTTGTTGTTTCTTCCTGAGGTTGGATTTGGGTATTCAAGGAATTGGTTCAAGGGAAAATCTACAGGAAGCCATGGGATTTCAACCCCCCCAAAGAGGTATCATACAGGTAGGCTTTGGGTTTCAAGGCAGGAGGATTGAACAACCAGGACTTTAGGGATTCAAGTGGCCACAATGGGATGTTAAAAAGATGCAAATTGATGTATATGTATATAATGATGTACGGTATATACATAATGCCATATATCACATTACATGGCCAACACGGGCTAGACAAACACACACACACACCACATACACACATACACACACACATATATATATAATTATATATATATGATGGTCAATGAGAGTGTCTGAAAATAGGCTCCCCAATGGTCCCCCCCGGCAGTTGGTCATCATGATCTTTGGGATCTGACCCATAGCGGAGGGGAACACTGAGGAGTGCATACTCTTGTGGGAAACTAAAAACATACTTAAATGATCCTAAGTGAACTTGACTGGAAACCAAAACCACATACTTCATACTTAAATCAAGCATCTCAAAGTCTCATTCACTAGAAGTAAAGCAACCGTCTTTTCTGCAACCTTGCGGCGGCCTTTTTTTGCGCAACGCGACACCATTTCCAGCTGTCGGACTCTCTGCTTCGCAGGGATGAGCGGCATGGACGCTAATCCATTCCCATATCACAATTAAATTTCAAAGTGAACAACTCAAATTCGTATTTAAAATAGTATTGAAATTCCAGCTCATACCAGTAGTATTGGAATGGTATTGCTATTAAATCCCAATACAGATTGTTGTGATTAGTAGCGGATCTAATTCGAATACCATTCCAATCAATACTCCAAGACCAATAACAATAATACCCTCCAATGACCCTGCCAGATAAGGCTTGGAGGATGAGTCTCCACTAAAATTGCTGATGTTCAGGGTCTATGTTAATTTGCCAGAGAATAAACCCACTAATAACCATTAATAGCCATTATTAACCATTATTGACCATGATTAACCATTATTAACCCAAGATTAACAAAATGGGTGTTTTAAGTGAAACTCCTGTGACATCGTGGAGCTTCAGCGGCTCACTTCGGCTCCACTTTTCGGGTGGTCAGCCAGTCCATCCCTTCGTACAAGCCATCTCCTGGCAAGGCCGCCGAAGGCTTCACTTCCCAAAAGCAAAAACGAAGTTCTGTCATGTTCCAAGGTTCCCCATTTATGTGCAAAAATTGCAACATGGGCGTTTCTCAGGTGGAAAATGGACACAAAAAGCTCGCCAACTGCCAATTTTTTCTGGGTGCTCCCAACATAGATAGCAACAGACCAATTTTAAATGGATTCATGCTGGGTATCGCTCACAATTGGGTACAACCCCACATGGGATAGTTTACAAGTGTACAATCCTAAAAATGACTATACCAAATCTATATATCCCCTCATGTCCGACCATGTCCCCTCATTCTTAAATGTTGATCCGGAGTCGTGTTCTCATAATATACCAATTGTTCATTGATTATTGGGTGTACCGCATTATAAGCAAGAAGCAACTCGTTGATGATGACCAGGTTTTACACAGTAAAATAATTCATTGGCTTTTTTTCCAATAGCTAAACCCCCTAGATGGGTACCTTTTCTCTATCCGACTCTATCTCTTTGGATCTCTTATTGATCACCAAAAAAAACGCCCCAAGCTGGTATGGGTCTCCTGATAGGGCGCAGGAGGTCTGAATGAACCACTGCCTGCGGCGCAGAGTGTTGAGGCCCAAGGCGTCGATAAGTTCGTTCTTGCTCATAGCGTTCGGAAGGTCCTCCGAATTGCAGAGTTGGTGCCCTGTGAAAAACCCTGTAGAATGCTACAGATGTCCATATCTCCCAACAGACCCCAACAATTGGACATAGTTAGACTAATTAGTACAAATCACTTAGCGATTCCGAACTGAGGCACCACCTTGCGTGGGGAAAGGATCAATGGAACTAGTTTGTTAGGTACTGTAGTATATGGTATGGATCATTGGAGCCGTTTTCTTGGGGTGTTTCAGGGAACAAGAACAGGTACAGTAAAGCTTAAAAACCTGCATATGCTTCATGACTTTGGATGGGTGTAAGTGAAGAATAACAAATCAAGAAAACCCGGTTTTGACCGTTCAACACTGGTCCACTGGTGGTGTCCCACCTTCCTATTGGCTTTCCTGTTAACCGATTCTGGGCATCGATCAATGGAGTGGTCGAAGGAAAAATACAGGAAAGCAGTTTGAGCATAAAATCATATAGGATATCAATGACATATATATATATATGTGATTATATATGTAGATTCTCCCATGATATGAAAGAATATCATACGATATCTAGTGTAGTATTGAAACCATCGGTTTTCCACATCTCCTTAGATCTGCACTGCTGCTTTCAGATGGCATCTTCAGCTGGCATTTTCTGTGTCGGTGTGTCCAATCATGCGGGATGTTAACAATAAAATCTGGACTTTAGACCAACCGTTTTGTCTGGACATTAGACCAGTCAATTTATGGGGATACGTGATACGTGTATAATCTTGTATCTTGTATGATTGGAATATACCTACACATACCTACTGTGATTTGGGTAGTTTTTGGAGATGCAACCAGCAATCTTTAAACACGGAACCCCAACATGATCATATCATGTCGCTCAAATCGCCTGGAGGAACCTCGGTGTCAAGTTCGTGAAATCTACCGGGTGCACAAAAAAGATTGATACGATGTTTCTGATTTCACAAACATGACAAACCTGGTTAATGAATGTTAATGATTTATACCAACATGATCAGGTTATGTTTATAGCTGGTTAATGATGACAAAACCAGTGAATTTCAGGCCACCGATTCTCATCCACATTGGAACAAAATCGAGGCCGCAACCAGATCAACCTGGAGTACGCCATGCCCGGGCCCTGCGGCCCCGCCTGTTTGTTGGCCCAAAGCAGCAGCACCGCATTGCTCATCTCCTCCTCATTCAGCATCAAATGGAGTTCTTCCCTGGCCTCTTCTAGGCGATCACCTGGTGCGTCCGCGGAAAAATCACCAGGTGAGGTCCCAAATGATAGCTAAGATGGATTGGAACTCCAACAACTAGGGCCTAACTAGGGTTTATGGCAAGTGTAGCTACCGATAGGATCTGAGAGGGTTTATAATGAAACTTGTAACTGTAACCCGGGGGACCACCCTGTATAGAGTCATTGGGAATCATCATCCAGCCTAGTATGGTTTTTCAATACAGGTATTGCAAACCACCAGCCAGTGCATTCTATCGGATAAATACAAATAAAACCAGCCTAGTATGATTACTAGTATGGTTGTTCAAAGAAAGCTATTGCAAACCCTCTCTATATCCCTTTTAAAAAATCACCATTTCGCTGAAACCACGAATCGTCACCAGTCCCAGTGACGGTCAGTGCTATCCACCACAAAGATCAGCCGCGTGGTGCCTTTAAAGTATTGCCGCCACTTTGGGCGAAGCTTCTCCTGCCCCTCGCCTCCCAGGTCCAACACAGTGATGGAGGTGTTCTTGTACTGCAAGGATTCCACCTGAAAGCCTTCAAATGGCGTGCTCGTCGCCTGTTGAGGTGGGCGATCATCCCGACCAAAGGCGATCCGGTGTTTTCCATGGAGCAATGAAACAGGAAACGAAAAACACCAAACATCGCCAAACGAAACAAGGATGATAGTTGCTTTGCTATGGCTATGGCTATGGAAGCCAAATGTGCAAAAATCAAAAAGAAACTCATTGAAAGCACCATCACCATCCAGTTACCACCTTCCCCAGCTGCAGCTTCTGCAAAACAGTGCTCTTTCCTGCAGATTCCAGCCCCACCATGAGCATTTTCACCTCCGGTGAGCCGTTGATTTTGTAGCACATCCGGGTCAAGCTATACCGGAGCTTCGTGACAGCATTTCCCATGGGTCACACCATGGGCGATCCCGCTGGCAATCTACCACTCTGGCATCTTTTCAAAAAAAAAACTTCGAAAAAATCGCAGGTGACATCACTGGTGCTGTTCTTTCATCACACATCTTCAAACGCTGCTTTGGTTTTTCTTGAAATAGGCAAGATTGGACCCCAGAATCTGAAGAAATGGCTACGATCCATGTTCATCCATAGCTAAGTGGCGGGGTAATGTTGGGTAATGTTCCACTGGCTTCTCAAATATGGCAATGCAAAACAACCCATTCATAAGTTACTTTTATATTATATATATATAGGTTGAATTTATACTATGTTATAGTATGTTAATTTATGTATGTCAAATTATATATGTTATAGTATGTGATAGTCATAGTTGACTCAATCAACAGGATAAACTTACACATGGTGTCTTTTTGCTTTTTTCCATCACATTGTTTGGTTGGAACGTTCCAGTCATCAGGCACTAGCTTAGCAGCTAATCGTCGACAAATCTTGGCCGCAGAAACAACCACTTGTACATCACTTCCAGTGCTACCAACAAGACTTTCACCCAAACACACCTGAAACCGTGCAAACATCCACAACTCACTTCCGTTAGTTCTTCGAAAATCCAATCCCCAAAGAAGCCACGTTTTGACCGCTGCAAAACGATGCAAATCTAAAGCTCAACTTGCTGTAACAACCACCAAACCACACCATGAAATGCCATTGACACCCATCTCCAAATGTGACAGCACACCCTGCTTCACAAGGATATGCCAACCAACCAGAAAAACAATAGAAATCAACACAACCATCAGACGAATTCCTGTTGGAACGCATCCACTACACAAGGAAACGCCCCGACAATCTCAAAGAGACTGCCTCTATCCCTACCTCCGTCTATCAGCTCAGCGCTTAGAGGACAAAGTGCGGGAAAGCCAATCCAAGCCTTCGTACAAACCATCGCCAGTGGTTGCGCATGCGGACTGGATGAACCACTGGCGGTGACGAAGGTTGTGAAGGCCAAGCTTCTCAGTCACTTCTGCCGCGGTCATTGCTTGTGGCAGGTCCTGTCAAGTGTTATCAAGTGTTGACATACAAATGTTCATGTCACTTGGGATATCAGGACATGGACATTGTAGACTTAAAATGTCTGAAAACACATCGATGAACTGAAAAAGACGTATGCCTCTGCACCCCTAACACTGATTTTGAACAAGATGTCCACACTCAGAATCAGCAACCCGTGCGTACTGCAAGTATTGTCAAGTAATCACGCACATACCACTCCCTCCGGGAAAGCGTGAAAGAAGAACAGAAGACATGAATAGAACAAAAAGGAATAAAAATAAACATAATACAACGGTCCCAGCCTGCTTGTTTGCAAAAACCAGCAGCACTGCATCACGCATCTCGTCCTCATTCAGCATCTTAGTGAGTTCCTCCCGGGCATCCTCAATGCGATCACGGTCATTGCTGTCAACGACATAGATCAGTCCGTTGGTGCCCTGGTAGTAGTGGCGCCACAGAGGGCGAATCTTGTCCTGGCCTCCCACGTCCCACACGGTGAAGGACAGGTTCTTGTACTCCACAGTCTCCACGTTGAAACCAATAGTTGGAATAGTAGTCACAACTTCACCCAACTTCAGCTTGTACAAGATGGTCGTCTTACCTGCGGCATCCAAACCCACCATCAGGATTCTCATCTCCTGCTTGCCGATCATGCGCTGCCATATCTTGGTGAAAGCAAGACCCATTGCGTCCCTCTGCGGCTTACGACTGACACTCGGAAGATAGCAAACTACTCTGAGAGACAATACAATCAGAAGATTGTAGATCATCAACGGTCATGCACCAGAACAACAAGCAACAAGGCGAGGATTCCCAAGAGAAAGAGAGCGGCGCTGTGTGTACATACACAAACTATGTATATACATATATAAACACATAAACATATGTATACAATTTTGATGCATTTATCTGTTCATTCTTTCTTTATGTTTGCATGGATCTAATCCTCAAATTTCACAACCTTGCTGTGCAAAATTCTGAAAGAAGCCACCTCAACCGGAACGGTGCTTTTTTGACTGCTGCAAAACGTTGCAAATCCAAAGCTCCACTAATGACATCTAATATCATCTAATAACCACAAAAACACGCCATGAAATGCCATTGATACCCATCTGCAAATGTCACAGCACGCCCTGCTTTCACAAGGATATGCCAACCAACCGGAATTACAAGAATAACCAATCATCAAACGAATTCCTGTTGGAACGTATCCACTACACAGGAAAACGCCCCGACAATCTCAAAGAGACTGCCTCTATCCCTACCTCCGTCTATCAGCTCAGCGCTTAGAGGACAAAGTGCGGGAAAGCCACTTCAAGCCTTCGTACAACCATCGCCAGTGGTTGCGCATGCGGACATGGGATTGAACCACTGGCGGTGACGAAGGTTGTGAAGGCCAAGCTTCTCAGTCACTTCTGCCGCGGTCATTGCTTGTGGCAGGTCCTGTCCAGTGTTATCAAGTGTTGACATAACAAAATGTTCATGACGAACTGTTCATTGTCACTTGGGGCAATCAGACAGAAAGACATTGACCAACTCGTAGACTCGTAGACGCATAAAACATCTTAAAACATATGGATGAACTGAAAGACGTATTGGCTTCTGCACCCCCCACTACTGATTGGCAAAGATGTCCACATGAGATTCAGCAACTCGTGCGTACTGCAAGTATATCAAGTAATTAATGCCCTCACCACTCCCTACTTCTTGCAACACATGCACCGGGAAACCGCGAAATAAGAAGCAAGAAGACATGAATAGAACAACGAAACAAAAATAAACATTCAACGGCCGCCCCAGCCTGCTTGTTGTGCAAAAACCTCAGCACTGCATCACGCATCTCGTCCTCATTCAACATCTTAGTGAGTTCCTCCCGGGCATCCTCAATCGATCACGGTCATGTTTGCTGTCACGACACGATAATCAGTCCGTTGTTGCCCTGGTATAGTGGCGCCACAGAGGGCGAATCTTGTCCTGGCCTCCCACGTCCCCCGGTGAAGGACAGTTTCTTGTCTCAACGTTCTCCCACGTTGAAACCAAGAGTTGGAATAGTAGTTCACAACTTCACCCAACTTCAGCTTGTAACAAGATGGTCGTCTTACACCTGCGGCATCCAACCCACCATCAGGATTCTCATCTCCTTTGCCGATCATGCGCTGGCCATATTTGGTGAAAGCAAGACCCTTTGCGTCCCTCTGCGCTTACGACTGACACTCGGAAGATAGCAAACTACTCTGATGAGACAATACAATCAGAAGATGTAGATCATCAACGGTCATGCCCAGAACAACAAGCAACAAGGCGAGGAATTCCCAAGAAAAGGAGAGCGGCGCTGTGTGTACATACACAAACTATGTATATACATATATAAACACATAAACATATGTATACAATTTTGATGCATTTATCTGTTCATTCTTTCTTTATGTTTGCATGGATCTAATCCTCAAATTTCACAACCTTGCTGTGCAAAATTCTGAAAGAAGCCACCTCAACCGGAACGGTGCTTTTTTGACTGCTGCAAAACGTTGCAAATCCAAAGCTCCACTAATGACATCTAATATCATCTAATAACCACAAAAACACGCCATGAAATCCATTGATACCCATCTGCAAATGTCACAGCACGCCCTGCTTCACAAGGATATGCCAACCAACCGGAATTACAAGAATCAACACAATCATCAAACGAATTCCTGTTGGAACGTATCCACTACACAAGGAAACGCCCCGACAATCTCAAAGAGACTGCCTCTATCCCTACCTCCGTCTATCAGCTCAGCGCTTAGAGGACAAAGTGCGGGAAAGCCAATCCAAGCCTTCGTACAAACCATCGCCAGTGGTTGCGCATGCGGACTGGATGAACCACTGGCGGTGACGAAGGTTGTGAAGGCCAAGCTTCTCAGTCACTTCTGCCGCGGTCATTGCTTGTGGCAGGTCCTGTCCAGTGTTATCAAGTGTTGACATAACAAAATGTTCATGACAAATGTTCATGTCACTTGGGCAATCACCAGAAAGACATTGACATCGTAGACTCGTAGACTTAAAACATCTTAAAACATATGGATGAACTGAAAGACGTATGCATCTGCACCCCCGCTACTGATTTGGCCAAGATGTCCACACTGAGATTCAGCAACTCGTGCGTACTGCAAGTATTATCAAGTAGTTATGCACGCACCACTCCCTACTTCTTGCAAACATGCACCGGGAAACCGCGAAAGAAGAACAGAAGACATGAATAGAAACAAAAAGGAACAAAAATAAACACAATAAACAGGCCCCAGCCTGCTTGTTGGCAAAAACCAGCAGCACTGCATCACGCATCTCGTCCTCATTCAACATCTTAGTGAGTTCCTCCCGGGCATCCTCAATGCGATCACGGTCATTGCTGTCAACGACATAGATCAGTCCGTTGGTGCCCTGGTAGTAGTGGCGCCACAGAGGGCGAATCTTGTCCTGGCCTCCCACGTCCCACACGGTGAAGGACAGGTTCTTGTACTCCACAGTCTCCACGTTGAAACCAATAGTTGGAATAGTAGTCACAACTTCACCCAACTTCAGCTTGTACAAAATGGTCGTCTTACCTGCGGCATCCAAACCCACCATCAGGATTCTCATCTCCTGCTTGCCGATCATGCGCTGCCATATCTTGGTGAAAGCAAGACCCATGGCGTCCCTCTGCGGCTTACGACTGACACTCGGAAGATAGCAAACTGCTCTGAGAGACAATACAATCAGAAGATTGTAGATCATCAACGGTCATGCACCAGAACAACAAGCAACAAGGCGAGGATTCCCAAGAGAAAGAGAGCGGCGCTGTGTGCACATACACAAACTATGTATATACATATATAAACACATAAACATATGTATACAATTTTGATGCATTTATCTGTTCATTCTTTCTTTATGTTTGCATGGATCTAATCCTCAAATTTCACAACCTTGCTGTGCAAAATTCTGAAAGAAGCCACCTCAACCGGAACGGTGCTTTTTTGACTGCTGCAAAACGTTGCAAATCCAAAGCTCCACTAATGACATCTAATATCATCTAATAACCACAAAAACACGCCATGAAATCCATTGATACCCATCTGCAAATGTCACAGCACGCCCTGCTTCACAAGGATATGCCAACCAACCGGAATTACAAGAATCAACACAATCATCAAACGAATTCCTGTTGGAACGTATCCACTACACAAGGAAACGCCCCGACAATCTCAAAGAGACTGCCTCTATCCCTACCTCCGTCTATCAGCTCAGCGCTTAGAGGACAAAGTGCGGGAAAGCCAATCCAAGCCTTCGTACAAACCATCGCCAGTGGTTGCGCATGCGGACTGGATGAACCACTGGCGGTGACGAAGGTTGTGAAGGCCAAGCTTCTCAGTCACTTCTGCCGCGGTCATTGCTTGTGGCAGGTCCTGTCCAGTGTTATCAAGTGTTGACATAACAAAATGTTCATGACAAATGTTCATGTCACTTGGGCAATCAACAGAAAGACATTGACATCGTAGACTCGTAGACATAAAACATCTTAAAACATATGGATGAACTGAAAGACGTATGCATCTGCACCCCCACTACTGATTTGGCAAAGATGTCCACACTGAGATTCAGCAACTCGTGCGTACTGCAAGTATTATCAAGTAATTATGCACGCACCACTCCCTACTTCTTGCAAACATGCACCGGGAAACCGCGAAAGAAGAACAGAAGACATGAATAGAACAAAAAGGAACAAAAATAAACACAATAAACAGGCCCCAGCCTGCTTGTTGGCAAAAACCAGCAGCACTGCATCACGCATCTCGTCCTCATTCAACATCTTAGTGAGTTCCTCCCGGGCATCCTCAATGCGATCACGGTCATTGCTGTCAACGACATAGATCAGTCCGTTGGTGCCCTGGTAGTAGTGGCGCCACAGAGGGCGAATCTTGTCCTGGCCTCCCACGTCCCACACGGTGAAGGACAGGTTCTTGTACTCCACAGTCTCCACGTTGAAACCAATAGTTGGAATAGTAGTCACAACTTCACCCAACTTCAGCTTGTACAAGATGGTCGTCTTACCTGCGGCATCCAAACCCACCATCAGGATTCTCATCTCCTGCTTGCCGATCATGCGCTGCCATATCTTGGTGAAAGCGAGACCCATGGCGTCCCTCCGCGGCTTACGACTGACACTCGGAAGATAGCAAACTGCTCTGAGAATAAAAATAATGCACAGGAATGCAATTTTCCCACACTTTCCATGCTTGACCTATTGACTTGATAGCCTTGAGCTCACTTGGTGCCACGTTCTTGAAGGTACCCGCCTGTCATCATTGACACCTTGCAACAAAGCTATACAGCAAAAAGACATGATGTGGGCCTTCCTACCTTGCCACTGGTTTGGAGTTGCCTAAGGCCTCCATAGGCCTCCCCATGCCTCCCCACTCCCCCAACAAAATGGTGGAGCCTCCCCTTCCACAATCTGCCCTTTCTTCTCGTCGCTTCTCTCAAACTCCGAAGCCTGTGCGGTGCGCTAACGTTAGGAGATTGAGCCCAAAAAACAATGGGTTCATCTTAGTAAAGGGTGAATATGGCATATGGGGGAAATCAATCATGGAAGATATGGAAGATATAACACTAGATTCTAGATATATGATTTTGGCTTGTTAGACCCCATTAATTCAGTTGAAATCCCATGAAATCGCTGTAAAATCACCATGAAATTCCCATGCAATCCGGTTAACATCACCATGAAATTCCATTCAATTTTTCGCAGCCATCCCCGCCTCAAAAGTGACGATCACCGGATGGCCCTTGAAGTGCTGCCCAAGGGTGCCTGGCAACAAAACGTGGGATTTGACATGACTGATCGAACCAAGAGAACAGTTGGGATTTAACAATAGTAAATCATAGTAAATCAATAAATCAAGAGAAAATTGGGATCTACCTGGTCAATTTAACATGATTTGACCATAGTAAATCAAGAAAACGTTGGGATCGGTCACAGCACAAACACGTGCAAATGGGACAGCACATGGCTGGGGATCCCCTCGAGTTCAGTTCACAGAGTTGGGGAAGGTGTCCTCATAAAATGCTGATTCGAAATCTCTCCAGCATCATTTATAGTTTCCAACAGTCGTGAAAATTACTCTAAGGTATCATAGGTATCATAGGTATCATAGGTATCATAGGTATCATAGGTATCATAGGTATCACAGGTATCATGCATGCGTTTTAACCAGAAAACATTGAGATGATTTGAGATGTCTTTTTCAAATGTTGACCAACAGACGTATCACGTGGTTGGGAAACCCTGGTTCCTTGGCTCCATGAATATGGATACCCATTGGTAGCGCCGTAGCTCCTTGGTGCCCTCCATTCACTGGGAAGAAACGTCGATTTATGTTCGCGTAATCTTAAAAAACACACCCAAATACCAAAGTGTTGATTATATATCAGGTTTAATCCCATCAACATCCCATCAAATCCATATAAACCCCATGAAATACCCAATGAAATATACATTGAATCCCATGATCTAGCCATTAAATCGCATGAAATCCCATTAATATCCCATGAATTACTGGAATCTGTTGTGGTTTATTTATATATTCCTTTCCTAAGCTCAGCCTCACTCCATAGCACTGCCTGCAGCTTCCAAGGGCGTCTTGTGCGACACTACCAGCCTCGGAGGATGCGAAGTATGATTCACATCCAATGGGATGTGAAAAGGGCGAGATGGGATATGATGAGGAGATATGAGGAGATATAAATAGCTACCATCTGGTTATTTAACATAGCCATGGAAAAAAGCCCATTTATAGATGATTTTCCCATTAAAACCTCCATTTATAAGGGATTTTCCATGGCTATGTTAAATAACCAGAGGGTATAAATCATGGGTGATTTGGGTATTTAGTATAGAGCTCCCAAACAGATTGAACTGGTTTTTCATGTAACCCTAGTTTATACATGTTCCCCGCAACCCCCTGGTTAGCCCACACTCAAACAACACATCCAAACAATATGATATACTTATCACCAGAGGATGAATGAAAACACTGGCTATATGCAGTGATTTTGACTTTAAGTTTTTCAGGATTTAGGGTTTAAATTTAGGGTTTTAGGTTTTAGGGTTTTAGGTTTTTGGTGTTTGCTGTTTTGGAAAGTAAACAACTTAAACCGTACCCAGGGATTTGAGCATGTCAAAGGATATGCGGGATTGGCCGCGGGCAAACCTAGGGGTTGCAGCGATGTACGTGTTTTGGGGTGCTATGAAATGGGGATTCGAACTGCAAACGTGCTTGGGGTCTATTACCATCTGGTAAACTAACATAGCTATTGAAAATGGCCAATTTACTGTTGATTTACCTATTAAAGTGGTGATTTTCCATGATTATGTTAGTTTACCAGAGGATAATCTTACGCAAACACAATTATACAAAGAACGTGGGAAAGCCCAAGAAAAGAGACCAAATTGGAGTTTCCATATCTATGTCGTTTTACTGGGGGTTCAAACAAGAATTACCAGGGTTTGAAACACAATTTGGTTCAACCCAACAAAACTATTCTATGGTCAAGTGAGTCGCCAGGTAACCAATTCTTGATGGGTAGATTCCCACTATTGTTAAATACTTAATGATCGCTATTGGCACCACCAACAACAAGGCTTTAGCGATTCGTGGCGGTGAATATCTGCTTCACCATGTCAAAAAGGCCCAGCTCATGACCAAGCGCAACTGACCCACCCAAACAAGCATTTTTAAGGAACCACAAGCGGAATCCAGGGAAGGGATTTCCAATGATTTCCAGGTACCACCCCTCAACTTTCCTTAAGAGTTGCATCAATAAAATACCTGCCACCAGGATCACCAGGACCAAAGTTTTTCCGATCATCCAACTGGTCCAGCGTCCAGTGCCACCAAGTTTCGGGGGAAGTGCTAAGCCCGAACAGGGCTCGGGTTCCACACAACTCTCCTGAGTGACTTGATCGACATTTTGATGGGGCATTGGCGCCGCTGATCTGATTCCGATGGTTTTTTTGGAGCATAATTCATGATCCATTTATATATTTTATATCCATTTAGTATGATTTGGCCAACCCTACATGTGATTATACATGGTTATCAAATGTTATCAACGGGTATTTGTTCCAACTGATCTGGCTAAGCCAGTGCCATAAACCTATGATTTGGGGATGGTGTCAAAGCAACTCATCTATGGTCATACTGTGAATGGTTTAGGGTTTAGAGTTTGCCAAATGATGGATAAAAAATGAGGATATTATAATATGTTTAAACTTACCAGATCAGACGGGGACCTACTAGAAATAATGACGAAAACTGAAAACCAAGTTATAACCCACGCGGTCCTTAAAAGACCTGCGCAGATTATGGCCCCGTGCCCGCAAAAACACATTCCGGATGTGTATGTCAGATATGGTAGGTGATTGTATGTGAATGTCTTCGAACGTATTGTGAACGTATTGCAAGGTACGTATGTGTATGTAGGTGAAAGTATGTGCATATCATTGCATATCTATATATGCATGTACATAATGTTCATACATAATTACAAATTGTTTATTTACATATATATATATATATATACAAATAACATGTGTATATTATATAGTTATAAGTTATATATATATATATGCATCCTTATATGCACGAATCAATGTATGCACATATCCACCCGAGGCAACCGGCCACGCACCAAGGCGCCATGCTAACCCACTGCACAGTGGGCTTCTGAGATAACCTCACCTGCATTGGGATATCATTGGATCATCCTAGATGCCCTTGCTAGGAAAAAAAACATGTAACTGACCTCCTCCAAGGGTTGCCGGAAACCAGCGTCGAGAAAGAACTTTCAAGGCACTGGGAAAAACTCGCCAGTAAATCAGAAATGATCCACCAGTAAATCAGTTGTCCCAACTCACGGCAGGGTCAAGCTGTTAGTTGGGGGTCAATAAACCACGTCCCGCCTGTGCCGTATTGTTATTCGGAAGGCAGTAGGAACCAGCCTAAAGAGCTGCGCGGCAACTGAAGGCCCTGCAAAATAGGTGAATAAATGTGAATGGGGTTCCAGCTATACCATGCGATATCCATGTTTTTGGGGGTTGCCTTAGAGTTTGATAGGTTTTTGGGCCTGAGCCCGGCTTCCAGTTTCGGGTTCGCACCACTTCTGAGGAGGTTTGGGCTCACCCAGGCCGCATGTCTTTGGGTCTTTGGGTGGGTTTTTCTTCCAGCAATGTGTTTGAGGTGCCGTTTGGCGAGCCACTCGTGGAAGCACCGTCCCAGTCGGTCTTCGCCACATACTGTTGGTGAATCTTCACACGAAGCACGGTGGACTTTACTGTTTCTTGCTTGCCCAGTTTGGCCCCATTGTTTGCCGGGGCGGGCGCAGTTTTCCCTGGTGAGCTTACCAGGGTGAAGTGCACTTGTTTGACCCCTGTTTTGGTATTTGGCTTCAATCTTTCCATTTCTTTATGTCTTGCCTTCACCACTTCGCCATGGTTGTTTCCCTATTGTGGGGTTCAGAGTCCCTACATATGACATAGCAGCGCATTTCAAGTTGGACATCAGAAAACCACCATGTCTTGCTGGTTGGAGCTGGGGTTTCAGGTTGGAAAAATCTCAACTATCATATCACGTTGACTGGCTGTATCCCATACAATATCATATAATATCCCAATTATCATCCAAGAACTGTTGGTTATACTGTTGGTACAAGTATAATCCATGAAATGTTCCAGCCTAATAGCATCAAAAAATGCATATCACTGTTGGCTATGCCCGTTTTTGTTGGGTCATCATTCCCGACTTATTGTCCACACGATTTTCCCGATTGAATTAATAATTCGCTGATTAAATCCATATGTTTTATGGTATAAATCTCAAGAGTTCACCCTGACCCTGTTTGATGGTTAAATCCGCCCTTTTTGTGTAATTGAGCCATGAAAAATACCACTATCTCATCCCATAAAATACCCTAGGCTTAGTTCACAAGCTCCAATCTGCAATCAATAATCAATAAGCCTATTTGGCAACCAACATCAAACCAACTATCCCTGCAGTAAGCCCCACCATGGATTTTACCAATTTCTATCTTTTCGGGAATTGCTATAGGCTTATTCATCCCACCCCCTTTTCTTCCCAACACCCCATTAAAACCATTAACATTACCCTGTTATAGGTACATCCCTAAATCAACCAGTAGTAAGCATAAGTCCCGTAATTAATCCTCATTAATCCCATTATATAATCCCCATTGAACATCCCTGCTTTGATAAATATTTTGGGGAAACCTGGAAATGTGAGATACTAGATACATGTTGATTGATATAATATACATATATATATATCATCAATTGTCATCCGCACCATCCTGGAAACAGGATCCGTAGACGCTGGGATGATGGATGGACTTTTTTCTAAATGGACTATGGATAGCTTCGAATCATGTGGCAAACGCAATGGGATGGTTTATGGCATTCAGGATGTTCATCATGTGGCATCATTTGACCATGATGCCGAACGTGGTTTCAAGAATGCCCGTCATGGACCGATCATTCTCCCGTCATTAAGCTTTAAACAAATCCACGCAATTATTAACCAATCATTGTATAATCATCATCCTTTTTTTTACTATTGTCCCATTCTTATGCCAGTATTCACCATCATTACCCAATCATTATCCCATCATGTAGTCATCCTATACAAAAGATGTGTAGTATAGTAGATCAGTAGATGTTAGTTTGGAAAAAAAAATATCATTTTTTGGAGGGTGCTGTATTAGTTGAGGGCGCCTTCACCACGTCCATTATTATTATATCAACTATCATTACTATCTCCTTATGAACCAGGTATTGACCATTTGACCAATTATCATAATAAATCATATATATATACACATATTAGTATATTAGTATGTCCTCATTAAATATTCATTAACCAGCCGTATTAACCAGTCATAACCATCATCGGCCACGGCACCTTCAAGGCTTCCTCTGAGGTCCGGCGAACCAGGTCCACAAGGCCGGGCAAGGCCAACCAACGGCCCTGTTAAAAGAAGGAGTCATGTGGTTAATCTATGTTTAATCTATGGTTAATATATGGCTAATATATGGATAATCTATGGTTAATAATAGTTACCCTCTGGTAAACGTTGACAGTTTGCTATTCAAAATGACTATTTTTCTGGTGACTTTTCCCATGAAAAATTGTGATTTTCGATAGTTATGTAAACGTTTACCAGAGGGTAAGGATGAAACATGGGATTTCAATTGAGGTTTTATGGGATGGAATGGGTTTCAAGGACGTTTTTCATGGGATTTCAAGGGGATTTAATTGGTAGGATTTAGTGGGTCTTAAAGGGTTTCAATGGGTTTTGATGGATCATTTCATAGGATTTCCGTTGGTTTCAACGCGTTTTCATGAGATTTGTTGTGCTTCTAACGGGTTTTGAAGGGTATCTTGGCTGAGTCCGCGGGACTTCAATGGGTTAATCAACACTTTGGACACATCGAGCAGCTCATGGGGATGTGTCAAACCTTTGATGCTCCTTATTCATTGACTTCGGGTACGTGGACTGATGTCGCAAACAAATCATCCGCCAATGGTGCAATTTCCGGAGTGAACACCGCATCCTTAAGATTTGAATCTTACCTGGGGATGGATAAAATCATCAAAACTTTAATATTGTTGGTGCAAATCACAGGAGTTCCTAATCTGGAAATCAACGACTTTTGGGATGATTACCCCTATTTGCCGTGACCTTGTGGTAAGGTCAAGGTCAATAATTACAGAAAAAGATGGGGCCTAGCCCTGGTCCTTGAAAGTGTACGAACACTATTAGGGATATTGGATAGTTGGTCATTCTTTGGATCTTTTCGGTAAGACAAATGGGGCCACATTTCATCAATTTCATCGAAGCCATGACTGGAGACAAAAGGCTCTCCGCACCGGGGTCGTTATGGGATGAAACTGGAACTTTGTTTGTTCCTGTATATGCATATATATATGTCATGTGTGTGTGCGCGCGTCTAAATCCATGTGTGTATATAAATCTATAAACAATTACAGTATTATTATTATATACACATTTACATGCTATTTCGCAGCGACATGGATATGTCCCAGAACATTTCACCATGCTAGTACCCGAGCCCTAATCATTTTCCGAGAAGCTTTCCTCAGAATTCATCCCTTCCCCGAATATATTTAATATTGAATACATTTGAATACCTTAGGAATAGAAAGACCCGCTTCATGTTGGGGGCTCATGCGGGTGCTATTTAGTGTTCCATTGGCTATAGATGGTCTAACACTGTTGAACTCCCAGGCTTCACTAATTTATATGGTAATACTGTAAAACTCACCCTTTTGTTCAAATCCATGGGGTAGGGATAGGGTTGGCCACCCAAACACAAATACATCGCCAAAGCTGGTGGCACCTCATCTTTCAGTTTCTTCCTGTAGTGTGCGAAGGCGTGACCCTGCCAATCCTTGGAAGCGTTGACGGAAATGGCTGGGGGGTAAAGCTATACTCATGGGATGTGTGTTTAAAAATATCATATAGTTTTATAAGTTATATAATTATACGTATACACCGGTTCCTGCATGCAAGCGCCATAAGATTTCAATTGGGTTTAGAAGCACCTGAGAGAGTATTCAGATATGAAATGGTATGAAATGTATGAAGAATGGATTATCTATGTTGGTGTATGATACTTTGCTGAATGCACCCACACGCTATGCGTAGGCTTCACAATGCATCCAACAACATGTCAGCTTGAGCAATGTATCCATAATGGTTTACAGCTTAAGCTGCACCCAGTGGGAGAAAAAAACATATTCATCTATTAAACAGTATTAAAGTGATGTATCATGGCCATGTCACTTTACCTCAGTACCATTTGCTGCTTCAAAGTCCCATCGTTGGTGGCCAGCTGTAGCCAAAATTGGGTCGTTGGGCTTGTCTGTCCCCCATTCCAACCTGTGGTTTAGAAAAGCTTTCTGCCAATTCAAATTGCCACAGTTTGGGGGTAAATCCCAACGTTTGGACAAAGCCTGTTGAAGAGCCAGCATTGAACATGGCTGTTCTGTGATTATGTTGGACTGCACATGCCCATTTTCTCCGAAGTGCAGCATGTTCTCCACATGGTTTTGTCCAAACACTGGGGGGTACCAAAATCTATGGCGGTGGAGAAAAGGACCTTCTGAACCCTGGGATTGTTGGGGGTATGAACAATGTGTGCTTGTTATGTGCTTGTTTCGTGCTTGTTCAATCCATATCTTTCTTATTTTGCCAAGTTTGTTGGTTGGATTCAAAAACCTTTTTTCCAGCTTATTTTACTTACCACTTAACGAAATCTGCTGGTGAAATCTCCCCCAAATCTGCCGCCACGCCCAAGCGTCTCCAGGTTTCACCCCACGCAGCGCTCGCTTGGCTTGCGCCAGCTCCTCCTCGTCGCTGCGGAGGCGTTTCCTCACGAAGGGTCCGTGGAAATTGGTGGAATGGCGCCTCTTTAGTGGGAATGATTTACCTACAATTGGGTGCAACCCTGTATAATTGGGTGATCATAATTTAATATAATTTATCAATGATTGATGATTTACCGTTTATGGAAGCAACATGAAGCCACCTATAAATTCTATACCCTCTAATTGGGTGAAGCAACCCTGTAGTGGCATCCATTTATGGAATTTCTAACCGTTTTCTATGGAAACCCCAAAACAAATGCCATTTTTAGTGTTTCCAGGATGTGAGCAACCGATGATATAAAAACCATTAAAAACCTTCCGGTGTCATCAAACATGCCAATGGAAAACCCACTTAATATAGACTAGATGAATTTCCATTTTTTTCACCTTGATTTAGTTTGGGGGTTTGGGGACTTCCCAGCTAGCCATGTTTGATTGCCGGAGTGCGTAGTTAATTAACATCAATTAGTGTCCAATCAAATTGGCATGAGGCTCTCTCAACTGATAAGTTTCAAGTCAGTTGGTATTGAGTTATCTATATTGCTGTGGTATCTGGTACCTACAGGTACCTATACTTAATTGATGTTAGTTAAGTTCAGTGGTTAGTGAACTGGCAAGTGATTAGTAAATAATCAATGATGGAGTCAGCTGATGGGGTCACTAGTTAATGGTTTCACATACACCACGAATTCCCCACAGCTAACTATAATCTGATATTATATGCTAACGTGGTTATTCAACACTGGCTGGTTGGTTGTTGGCCAGACTGACATGAGACAGCTTTAAGGCAATGGGACAAGAAATCACCACGGGGAGCCTTAGATACCTTGAAAAAAACATGTTTTTAGCTGGTTAGTATATAGTATACAGCTATAGCCCTTGAATAGCAAAACTTAGAATACAAACAGCGCCACTCCAAACCGCAAGATCCCCATGAGCCACATGTTTGGAAGGCATGACCATGGTTGACCATCGGTAATTTTTTGGACAACAATGGGTGCAGTGACCATTGATTCAATCATACGCTTCGGACTTTTGACTTCCCTACCATCTAATCCATCTACCTCAAGTATGATAATGAACTGGATAACTATCCCCAACCGTAGAGAGACACCAGTCAGTCTTTGGCAATGAAACATGTCCGTGGTGTGGTTCTTCATTCTTGATTATACGTTCCATAATTTTCCTCTTAAAAGATGGTGATTCTCCATTGCCGCCAAAATAAATTCGCACAGGCTGTGTACACGGATAGGATACAACGATATTAAAGCGTGCCCCCCAGTTATGTTCGTTGGTTTATTAACCCGATGAATGATCTAAGACTCTAAGATATATCTACCACAAATCATAAAGATTTCACCTATAAACATCCATAAACATCTGTCAGCTATCTAATTAAACCCCATTAAACCATATAAAGTTCCATTAAATCACCATTTTTCCATGAAATCCCAATAAAAATCACCATGTTTGCTGCTAACGTTGCAGCTCAAATGTTAGCACCAAGCTGAGCTCCCGCACACATCATTGGTGCGAGGGTCGATGGGTCGAATCTTCCTCCGGCGGCTTCCAATGCCGAAAACATGAAAGCTACACATACTGTGGGTGGTTGCGAAATCCTGCACCAGTTGATAGGCGGTTTGTCCATGTTTATCATTGTTTATCCGTTTTTTCGAGGGTTTCAACTGGTGGTGCACGATTTCTTCCATCCACGGTATGGAGGGTAACTAGTGATTGATGTTGTGACTCTTCTTTTGAAATAACTGATCATTGATCACCACTGGCCGTTTTCCATAGATTATGATTTCGGTTAATTGGTCGTCAATACTCGTTTATTATATTTTAATGATGGTGAATTAATCATGATGATGATGATCAATGGTGGCTAATGATGATTAATGATGATTTCACGATGGTTAATGATGGTCAATGATGGAGAATGATGGCTAATGATGTCTCACCATGGTTCTCATCATGGTTAAGTACCTAGGGAAATAGATGAGAAGAATAAACTATTGACCATCATGAACGCAACAATCGAACTGGGATGCTACCCTTAGATGGCCAATTAATGGGGAACATGATGACAAGTTGTATCGAATTTGGAGGTGAATATGTTCAGTCAAAACCACATATATATATAACTATATAATATGTGTATATACATATACAAAACTATCCATGTCTATATGTATTAAATATTTGGTGATTTTTGATTAGCCCGTTTTCGGTCCTCTTCCAAACCCTTACGAAAGGATAAAGTTCAGTCAAACCGAGTCAAACCAACATCTGTCTGGTAACCAATCTATCAACAATGATCAAACTGTAAAAAAAACATCTATTGACAGTTGTTTACTTCCACTCATTTCAATGGAGCAATCCTTCCCCCTAAGATGTGAACCCCCACCAATCGAAACCGTAGCTCTACTACTGGATCTGTTTCATTTTATAAAAGGCCGCTGGGATTACAAGGTACCTAGCAGACAAATGGTTAGTGATTCCTGATGATTGTTATTGATGGTTAATGATTGCTGACATTAACCATGATTAACCATTGTGGATCATTATTCATCAGCATTCATCATCACTGATCATTAACCACCATGAACCATCATAAACCATCGTTTACCATCATGAATCATCATTAACCCATTGACTGTCTCCATCGTTTATGGAAATGTGGCTAAACATATGATGTTTCGTTGGAGTCATAACTCATAACCTTCATCATTAATTAGTTGACACGTATTGATTGTTACAGTAATGACCATTAACGAAATAATCACCAATCATCATGAACCATCCTTATTCACCATCAGTCAACCATCATCAACTATCATACACAGTCATTGACCAATTAAACGTCATATGCCATCTATGGAAAAATGGCCAACGATGCTCAAGCACCCGTTATTTCAAAATAAGAGTCATACCATCAATCATTGTTTACCTTCCAGCAAACAAACATGGCTTTGGACAATCCATCATTTTTCGATCATGTCCGAACCTGAAGCCTATGGATTTCCATAACATTTTGTATGCTTACTGGCTGGAGGCTAATATACTGATTTTCGCTGAATCATAGTGATTCACTAACCTGAAAATAGCTGACACAACTGCCGCCAGCAATGGGGAAGATTCCCCGCAATCGAGCCATCCTTCCAGTGACATCATAGCGAGGTCTCTTTATGATTCATCCAGATCTTTGTCATCCAATGAAATCCCATAAAGCATCCCATTATATATTGTTCATCATTGGTTCATCCCATTATATATGGTTCATCATAAATTCATAATCACTATTTAATTTGATAAAGAATTTGTTCTATTGGTTCACCCCACTAACACCCAAATTCTATGGCGATCCAGATCGCCTTGCCCAACCTTTGGGCGCCAGCTCCATTTCAGCCGTTTCCTAACGGAGAAACGAAACGCAGCACTGACGCTCCAACCACAAGGGGAAGCCATATGTTTGTTACCACACATATACATGTACAATTGTAACATGTGTGTATGTAAAATCTTGTAAATACGTATGGACCGTATGGATATATATATATATGTGTGTGTGTGTGTTTTCTCTCACTCTCTCTCCCTCTCTCTTTTATACGAGTAAATTAATATATAAATTATCTATAAATCATTTGCAATGCATATGATTGTATGTGCGTATGGGTTTGCTGCGAGTTTTTCCTTGAACCAATTCTCGGAAGCATCCCTTTTCATAAATGAATATATCTTCAATAAAGCATGTGGCTTCGAACTTGAATGAAAGTGAATTTAACAGAATAAGTCAGCCAACTAACGATTCAATATGTTTTTACTGTTTCAACAACCCTTGGGAATACGTATACCATGTAGGGAATGTATGTGGTATGCTGTCTGGTTGGTTTCCAATACAGAGCTAGTTCCTCGATGCTCCCGCACGAGCCCGCTCATGGCCAAAACGAGCTATTTTTCTTGGCAGGAACAGCCTCCGTGTTGGGACAACATGAGACATTCTTGTACATAATTGGTATAGTATCATATAAATATATGATTATACATGTGTGTGAAAACAATGGGCAAAAACTGAAATTCTTAACCTCCCCAAGCTGAAAGGGTTGAACTCTAATAATTAAGTGCATATAATCAAGTAGTGTGTGTATATAATGTTAGTTAGTAAAGCAATAAAAAACCACCCGTATAAACTGATGGTTTCTACATGTTTGTGCCACCCATTTATCGAATTTTCTTGGATTGTTTACGGTTGATTCTTCGTCAGTTGGGATGATGAAATTCCCAGCATATGGAAAAATAATCCAAATGTTCCAGTCACCACCAACCAGATAATGTGCATCCCCATTGAAGTACCCCTTGGGCCGGCACTTCCGGGTCAAACGGGCCCATGCTCCGCGGCTGGGAGGACAACGCCGACGTCCTCGCGCACCGGGCTGGGGATTGGCTCCAGTTGACGATGCTAAACCTATGGAAAATCAGAGGCAAATAAATCGGGGGGATGGGATTCTATGGTTAACAATGATCAATAATGGTCAAATAATGTAAATAGAATGCTAATAATGGTTATATAATAATGATTAATAGTTGTTTTTTACAAGGGTACAGTAAATAATTGCTAATATTGGTTAGCAATCGAAAAAATAGATAAGAATAGTGGTTAATAATGGTAAATTATGATCAATTTAATGGGTAGTAATGGTTGACAATGACTAATAATGGTTAACAACGCTTAATGATTCAATGGCACTTTGGGATGGTTTCAAACGCATTTCTTTGTTTGTGAAAAACTGCGAGTATAAAACACTAATGGTTGGCGGTAATTGGACCCACACATCAATATGGGGGATTTGTGGAAATGTGTATATATATATACTGGTTGGTGGTTGACCCACCCCTCTGCAAAAATATGAGCTCGTCAGTTGGGGTGATTATTCTCAGTATATGGAAAAATGTTCCAAACCACCAACCAGGTATATATAACATATATATATACTAATATACCCCTTAATAACCCTTCATATGCCTGGCTATACTAGTCATTTAGTGATTAAATTTGGTGAATATTTACAAAGTCATGGCGAAGCCATTGCGACAAAACCTCCGATGAACCCGGACTGAAATCTTACCAATTGATGGCAGGTCTGTTTTTTCAGCCCCCAGCTGGACCCACGGTGGGGGTTTTGTTCTTTCATTGCATTAACATCTGGTTGGTGGTTCACCTACCCCTCTGAAAAATATGAGTTCGTCAGTTGGGGTGATTATTCCCAATATATGGAAAAATAAAAAATCTTCCAAACCACCAATCAGACATCTTCAATGGGTTCATATTGTTTTTTCCCCTCTAGGTCCATGTTCAACCCCAACCTTCAAACCGAGGGTCTTTTACATAAGTCTTTAGTTTCTATTCATTTTGAATGGTACCCAAATATATTAGGTGTTCCCGACCATATCAACCATGGTCCAGTTTTATGCAACCTTGCAGCTCCTATCTTGAGGTGGACCTGCAATTCGAGCATTCTTGGACCGCCCGGCATCATCCAAAATAATCTGAACGTCCGTTCCAGAAAGCATCCCTGATGTCGTAAACGTAACAATGTCAACCCATCACTGGTCAGGATTTATCGATCCGGACTGGCATGAATGACAAACTATTAAAAAAAAAAACAACACCATTAATTTATCATCATAAACCATTGGGGCTATTAAAACTGTACCTAAGCAACAGGTATTCTATTCGGTCCGTTGGGTTCACCACATGAGAATCGAGAATTTCATATCATCTTTCACCTCACCGGGCGCCAATGAAGTGACAAATGGCTGGTCATTCTTAGGGTCTTCAAATCCCGACAGGGGTCAGTGCTGATGATACGAGACTACATGACAATTTGCATTGGTGATGACAATTGATGACATGATATTATTTCTTGATCATCCTTTACCTACCTGCCTGGCCTAGCTATCCTTCTATCTACATATCTGCCGAATCTGCCTACATGAATATGAGAGAGAAAGAGGTAGACAAAAAAACACGAACAATACTATATATATAATGGCTCTTTATTACTGTGTAATCTCCTGCTTCCATTGCAGCTCCATTCGCACAGGAACTACCTGAGGCACAAACGCTTGCTTCTTTTCAGATCTCTATCATGTCTGCAAGTGTGGCCCCTGGATGTGCACGACAAACTGAGGCCAAAAGCCGCCCATCAGGCAAGACAACGCGAAGACTCGGCAGGCAAACGTTCAGTTTACGTGCGATACGCCTGTGAGCATCCCATGCGAGATCAGAGCTAAGTAAACTCAAGCATAGGACTTCTTCCCCGGTCAGACTGGAGAATGTCAGCCGCACTTCATTATCCTCACGAACAGGATCAAGCTGCAGCACAAGGTCTCTACCTTGCAACGTAGGGCAAACATAGAACGTCCCTGCTTGAGGCGACGGAGCAATACATTCTCCATAAAAGTTCCCTCCGCAAGCCACAGCACGGCCGTCGCTTCGGAGAAGCGTCGTATGGAGACCTCCTGCAGAGACGTGGGCGTATGACACTCCCTCATCCAATCGCGGGATGCTTCGTTGTCCATATCTGTTGTTTCCACAAACCACAGCACAGCCATCACTTTGGAGAAGCACTGTATGATCCCCGCCTGCAGAAACGTGGGTGAATGACACTCCAGCGTCCAAGGGCGGGATGTTGCACTGTCCAAATGTATTGCTTCCACAACCCACAGCACAGCCATCACTTTGGAGAAGCGCTGTATGGTTCCCTCCAGCAGAAACCTGGGTGTACGACACTCCATCATCTAAGGGCGGGATGTTGCATTGTCCGCATGCATTGCATCCGCAAGCCACAGCACAGCCATCACTTTGGAGAAGCACTGTATAACCCTCTCAGCAGAAACCTGGGTGTGCGACACTCCTCATCGAGGCGGGATGTTGCATTGTCCAAATGCATTGCTTCCAAAGCCACAGCACAGCCATCACTTTGGAGAAGCACTGTATGATCCCCGCCTGCAGAAACGTGGGTGAATGACACTCCAGCGTCCAAGGGCGGGATGTTGCACTGTCCAAATGTATTGCTTCCACAACCCACAGCACAGCCATCACTTTGGAGAAGCGCTGTATGGTTCCCTCCAGCAGAAACCTGGGTGTACGACACTCCATCATCTAAGGGCGGGATGTTGCATTGTCCGCATGCATTGCATCCGCAAGCCACAGCACAGCCATCACTTTGGAGAAGCACTGTGTGAATATCGCCTGCCGAAACCATTGCAAATCAATACCAAGCTAGGCCAAGAGTGGGAAAAATTCTGCCATTTCCTGCATCCATAACGGTGTTTCGCGTGCCTGATGACTGCTGCTAGCTGCCTGGTAGTAAGTCAAGAAAAAAGATGAAAAAGGTGGTGAAATCAAAACCTGCAATCGTGCTGCGGTGCTTGGGCCATTTGGCAATTGCCCTTCTCCTGGTTCCAACAATTCACACGAAACTCCGCTCAATCTGTTGGTTCATTGCTGTCATTTGAAGTTATATATAATATACATTAATATACTCATTTATACTCCGGCAAGGGGGGCCAAACAGCGTGTGGGAAGTTACATGGGGGATTTCCACGTTTGATCCCGCAAAAAAGGTGCATTCTGCCGCGAGAGCTTAGGCTGGATGAAAAACCACTGAGACCACCGTGTGCAGAGACGAATTGGGTCACAGATCAGGTAGCTCAAAGAGAAGAGAGAACACGGAGGCTAGAGAAGAGGTAGCTCAGTGAATTAGGTTGGAGTAGAAGTAGCTTGGAATTTCCTTCATTCATTCATTCACCCACTCACTCACTAATTCACTACTTCATTAGTTCATTCACTCAAATATCTCAAATACTCATTTGCTCATTCACTCATTTCACTCAATCATCTCACATTCATCTCATTCATCTCATTCCGTCAACTCATTCAGTCAGTGATGCATTCAAAAGACTTTCTTGCAGGCCCTTGTCCCATGCCATAGCCAGCACTCTTTCCGAAACGTCCACCCCGGCACGGCGAACTGTACCAGTAGGAATCTCCCATGGCTGTTCCACCTGGGTTTGGGGGTGCTGGGGGCAGCCTCAACTTGTTTCTGTGGTGAGATGTCCGTTTTTTCACAAGGATGACACGCACAAATCAAGAAGTGTCTCCATGGAATCATTAGAAGGCCAGCATGGCCCTTGCTCAAGGATGACATGCACAAAACCTTTGTGCTTACTTTCGTTTTTGGCTCAAGAAAACTTAGCTGCTGTGCGCTGGCGGCTAACCTGGTTTCGCAGGTTATGAGCCCAAACTTGGGTCTCTGACCATGTCGCTGTCGACGCTGCGGCGGAGAGAAAATTCGAGGGCCAGAGAGCTGACGCCTGATGGACGAGCACCAGGTGAAGATCAGGCTCAAGGCGCTCGAGCTCCTGGCTGTGGTGCCGGAGAGGGCAGAAGGTTGGAGATCGGGGTCGCTGACAGGAGATTGGAAGCCCTGTTGGAGGAGGAAAGGACTAGAGCGGCTTCGGTGCCAGTGGCTGGTGTCCGCCGACTCCGGTTGGAGGATGGGCGAGACCAAACCCGGGCCTTGGATGATGGAGGCCGGGAGGCTGCTGGTCGTGGGGCGCAAGGTGGACCCATCGGAACCTTGGAGGACGGAGCCAGAGCCATGGGGCTTGGCCAGCGTCAAGGCGGACCGATGGAGGCCTTGGATGATCCCAGAGCCAGAGCCATGGGGCTTGGCCAACTTCAAGATGCGGTCCGGCAGTCCTATGAAGTTCTTCAACAAGCTTTGGGACGGACACAGCCGGGACCAGGGCTACTAGATCCCCTTCTTCAAGGCAATGATCAAGGTGTTCAAAGGGGTGGTGTTCTCGACGACAGAGGGGAACGATCGCTCTTGCAAAGTACTCCAGCTCGAGTTCAGGCGGGCCATAGACCTGAAGTTGGACGTTCAGGAGGCTGTGAAAGCGCTGATGGACTTCGTGCCGGAGGTCAAGTTGGGGGCAGAACTGACATAGCCCCAAGAGTTTTGGATCCATACGGGACGCCTGGACAGAACCAAGGTCAACAGGTGAATCCTTTTTGGAGTGACGCAGTTCGCAGGGGTGCCATGGAACGCGCTCCTGGAGCTGGAGATCAACGTGGTTCGCCGGCCGGACAGGTTGGTGTGAGTGGCTTGACTTCTGGACGTGATAGGAATCCAGTGGAAAGCCCCAAGGATGAAGTTGAACGTTTGCGTGCTCGGATCCTACGGGAGGCTGAAGAGGCCTTTGGCAGGGAGGTGAAGAAGCTTGGAATCTATGAAAAGGGCGATGGTGACTCCTATCACACGGCAACGAGTGCGGGTGGTGGTGGAGGTCAGTCGCAGGTTCCTCGGCAGCCTCAAGCTGATGGTCCATCTTTGGAACCTCCTCCGGGATTGAATCATGTGAAGATATCTGATGGAGCAGGCGACCAAGTAGTTTCTGAATCGCTGCGCCATCTGGAATTGCCAGGTTTGCCACAAGTTGGAGCTGAAGGAGCAGCCTTGCAGTTCGGAGATTGGCTGACCATAGCCAGTCCACTCATGTCAGACTTGGGATCATCATCGAAGAAATGGTGGGAACAGACAGTGAGGGTGGCTGAGGAGTTCTATGGGCGATGGCTTGAATCTACGCCCTTGGAACGTCTCCGTCTCAAGCCCACGGTGGAGGTTGGCCCAGGGTACCAGCGCATGGAGCAGAGGGGAATCTCAATGCTCTTGGGAATTCTGCCAGAAGCCCTTCGACGGGACATCGTTGGGGCCCGCAACGTATCCATGGTGTCAATACTCTACCGCCTCTTCGTCGTGTTCCAGCCTGGCGGAGGAGCTGAACGAAGTGCTCTCCTGAAGAACCTTACTGACTTGAAGCCTGGTAGTTCAGTGGCAGATGTCCTGAGCTCGATTAGGCTATGGAGACGATGGATTTCCCGTGCAGAGGAACTTCGTCTGACGATACCAGATTCCCTGGTACTCATGCAGGCCCTCAATAAGGTCTCTGAGGCGCTGAGCCGCATGGGTGGGAACCAAGTGACGTATCGGATCTCAGCTGTTCGTCAGGAGCTACAGGTCGACCAAAGACCGGGGTTGTCGGCGGTCAAGGAGTTTGCCGAATTCCTCCAAGCGGAAGGTGAGGAGCTGGCATTGATGGCATCGGCCTCGACCAAGGGCGTCGGAGTGGCCGCAACTTCGAGTGGCGGTGCCGGGGGCACGTCGCTTAAGGCAGTGGCGATGTCTGGGGGAGCCAATGGAGGGCAGGACGAGAAGTCAAGGGGTCCTTGCCGCTTTTGGGGCACCTCAAACGGCTGCCGACGTGGAGATACTTGTGGTTATACCCATTTGTGGGATGGTGTCGAGAAGAAGGATCGATGCTATGTCTGCTCTGGTGTGGGACATTTCTCCAAGGATTGTCCAACCAAGAAAGACAGGAATACAAAGCAGCCATAACCCAAGGGTGGCCAAGGTGAAGGGTGCTGAGAAGGAAAAAGACTCACCGGCCAAGGGAGAGCAGCTGAAGGCCGAGGAGCAGGGGCCGACTTCGGTCAGTGGGAGCCGGAGCCCAGCCAGGCCGAAGGTCGAGGATCCGATTCCCAATGGGGATGGAGGCCAACCTCATGGACGCTCTGCTCAAGGTGCTGGTGAATCTGCAGCTACCCTGATCAACGAAGCCACGGTGCTGTTGAAGACCCTTCGATCAGTGAAGGCAGTTAAAGTGAAACAGGTGAACTATGAACCTGACTGTGAACAACGACCAGTGGCACTTCTTGACGGTGGGGCCACGCATGGTCTACGAATGGCAGAGCCTTGGGAGCGTGGTGCCTTGGAGCCCGTGCAGGTGGAACTAGCATCGGGTTCAACCTGGCTCTATCGCCATGGCAGCCACAAGACCTTGCTCAGCCTCACCCAAGTGGAGCCGATAGTGCCGTTGCACCGATTGGTTTCCATGGGATTCAGAATCGAATGGTCGTCAAGAGGATGTAAGATCTTTCATCCCTCTCGAGGGGTCATCCAGTGCTCACTTCGGGGCGGTTACCGGTTGTCCGACGATGGAACGTGGAGAAGCTCTTCTGCTCTTGAGGGAGATGGAGAAGATCGATGGATCTTCGCTGGATATGGATGCGAATGGAGTCAAGTGGTGGCAGGAGAACTTCCCGGAGGTACCTGACCGCATCATCAGGAAGTTGGTGAGCCCAGTCGAGCCTTGGGACCCTGCTGCATTGCCCTGGAATCGGCATCAGCGTCGGGCACATCAGAGAAAAGGCGTGGCTCTTCATCTCTTTTGTGGGCCCAATGTGAAAAAATGGAAGGACTGTGATGTGGGCGGGCTAGAGTGGCTTTGCATCGACACCTGCCTTGGTTCGCAGTACGATTTGCACAGACCCGCAGTGTGGAGTTATGTGTGGGGGCTAGCCAACAAAGGCCTCGTCAAGCTGATCCTGGGGGGGCCACCTTGTAGGTCTGTTTCACGACTACGAGACGGGCCTCCTGGACCTCGAAAAATACGTGGCCGTGGAGCTCAGCGATATGGCCTGGATGGGTTGGATCCCACGGAGGTTGAACTTGTGGAAAACGATACATGCCTCCTGTTGAAGCAGGTGGGTTTGTGGCTGAAATCGGAGCAGGTGAGGGGAGAGCAGGGCTATGAGACTGGGTTCTTGTTCGAAACCCCTCAGGACCCCATGTCCTACCTGCCTGATGAAGAAGGACGAGAACTTCCCTCCTTCTTGGAGTTCCCTGAGATCCGAGCTTTGGTGGAGGAGCACAACATGGAGTTGGTGTCCTTTGACCAAGGACGAACGGGGCATGAAAGGAGAAAACCGACCAGTTTGGTCACAAATCTGCCTGGAATGGGGCAGTTGAATGGTCTTCGAGGAGGTGGATCAACGGAAGGCGTTGGACCAGAGCTTCAGGATCGCATCAGATGCTCAAAGACGTGGGCTGAGTGGTCTCCAGGGTTGGTTGCAGCGATCCAGGAATCGCTGAGGAGATGGACGGCGTTGGCCAAGTCTTCAGGGGACTCTGTAGGGGACTCTGTAGGGGTCAAGAAGATGGACCTGGAGTTCTGGAAGAAACACGTTCTGAATCAGCACCAACCTTTTCGGCGAGATTGTCGCCGCTGTATGGAACTGATGGGCAGGGATTCTCCACATCATCGGACGTCCGGGGATCGAGCCAGTCATGTGCTCACGATGGACATTGTGGGACCCTTACCATCTGGTGATGATGTTGGATGGGCTCCCGGAAATGGCATACCGCCTATATAAGGTCAAGTACATGATGGTGGCTACGGTGGCTCTGCCCAAGCTGGAGCGAGAAAAAGGTGATCAAAAGGATCCCGAAGTGGAAATGGATGAAGCTCCGGAAGGTGACTTGTTCAGTCGCCAAGCTGAAGCTGGAGAGGGCGAAGCTGAAGAAAATCAAGGAGGTGATCAAAAGGCTGCTGAAGAGCTCAATTAAAAATGGTTGGAGCATGCCAAAAGGCTGTCAGAGCCAGTGGGAGTGCAGAACCTGACGATGGTTGAACCATTGGCATCCCGACATCAGTCTGATGTGGCTCGGGTGGCGGCTCGGCTCTACTCTCGCTATCGAGCCCTTGGTGTTGGAGTTTTGAGGATCCACACGGATCGAGAAACAGCCTTTTTATCCCGACACTTCCAAGCCTGGTGTCAACGCATTGGGGTATGGCAAACCCTTACTGGAGGGGAGGAAGGCCCCAGTAACGGAAGAATCGAGTCGGAGGTCCAACAGGTGAAACGCCGGGTCCGCCTTTTGCTCAGTGGTTCCGGGTTGGACCAAAAGTACTGGCCCGGTGTGGCGCGGTATGCCGGGGAAGAGAGGCTACGGAAACAGCTGGCGACCTTTGGTGTCCCAGTACAGCCGCTTCTCCCTATCGGCTCGAGGGGGACAGTGAAACGGAAAAGGTGGCATCGGCATGGGGCATTAGCATCGCCATTCAGAACCATGACGTTGATGGGACCAAGTCCACTGATGTCCACTGGCTACATCTTGATGGACGAGGGACAGCTTCAGCATGCTAGGCTGGCCGTCAAAACGGACCCTAACAGTGACCAGGCGATCATGGAGCTCCTGGAGGTTCAAGCCGCAGGGCACCCACACAGGCGTCTCCATGGTAAGCAGCCTCCGGACCCGACCTTGCCTGATGTGCCGCCTCCAAAACAACACTCTGATGGCGACAGAACCGTGAAGGTGAAGAACCTGGGGGAGCTGAAGCAGAGATAGAGGATCGGGGGGAGCCACCTCAACTTGAAGAGGGTGAAGATGCACAGTGGCCACAAGGAATCTTCAGTCATGGAGAGCCTTCTCTCATACGATGCGGGCTGGGGGGGAGAACACAAACCTCTCCAGCACTTTGAAAACTTTGAAAACTTCTGGTAGTGTAGTTTTTGGCACTTCTGGATTGCACCAATGTCGAGGATGCGGTCTTCAACAACCGGATGAGAAAGCCTGTGGGTTTTGTGGACAAGCTTTCAAGGTGGATCGGCAACGGGTATGTGCCAACAGAGCTCTCTGTTCCCTGCAATATGGAGATCAACTGTCACAGCGTCTTCGGGAAGAGCACTGGGGATGGAAAAACCAGCTGATGGAAGAGCTCAGAAGTGTAGCAGTTGGTGAGGATGAAGGAGGGCTGCATGGCTACACCTTGGAGTTTTTGGAGAGCCAGATCACCACTTTGGAGGATGAGCTGGTGGAGTTGGATCGTTCAGAGAATGTGGCTCGTTTGAA